GACACGTGTGTGAGTACATAACATTTGATGTATGACTTTTGATGTATTTTTGTTGAAATAACATTTCTTCTTTCTTTTTTTAATCAGTTATTACATCTAATGTAAAATTAATGTTTATTGCATGTCGCGTGTTAGCTACCATGATGGTTGAGATGAGATTTAACTCATCATGTGACTATCTCGTCACCACCAAGTAAATTTTTTTTCTGGCAACAACTGTTTTTTTTTTGCGTAAATTTAGCATAAATTGTTTTAGTGAATAGAGTAGATAGAGCTTAATAAATAAGCCTATTAATCACTGAATCGAGAGATTATACTGTAACTGGAGTTCAAATGGTGAAAGAAATATTTTAAAAGCCTGCATGCCATAAACACAAATGTACAGAATTGAACCAATTTGTTTGTTTGTTTTTTTGTTACACTACATGATTCCAGTCATGGTCTATTTAGTCTCTGTTCCTCACAAGGACATATTGCTTCCATTGTGGACGGTGAATACAAAATAAGATAAGAAAACAATACAAAGTAAAGGGCTTAAATAAAACAAAGAGTGACGAATAAAATATATTTATATTTTTAGCCGAGTCTGAAATAGCTTAACACTTCAGTGTCATTGACATGTCACAAAAATTGGTGTGATTTACTACAGCAATCTAATGGGAACAGACCTGGGAAAAGGCACAGCTCAGCAGGAAAAGAAATAAACAGACTGTATATGACCCATTTAGTGCAGATAGTTCCCAGAGGGCCGAGGGGCTGCTGTGGGAACTCAGTAGACTATGTTTGAATTCACCGCAGTAATTATCATTAAACGGCTCTCTCACAGACAGACACACACGTAATGCATGTTGAGTTGAAAACGAAAGTTGCTTACTTGGTTTAAAAGTATATGCATACATTGTTTTGTTATTCAAGATGCCTTAGAAATAAAATCCATACAATGACTTAAAGCTGCAGTCTGTAGTTTTTTGGGGGTTAAAAATTATTCAAAATACATATTTGAGAAAATACATAACCAGCCAGTGTTCAAAACTATCTGCTTGCCTTAGCTTGATTCAAAGCGGTAGGCTTGTAATAATGTTTTTAATTCCAGTGGTACTGGTGGATTTCCGCAGGAGATTTGAGACGTCATTACGTCACATCTGTGCACATAAAAAAGGAGTCTCGACTAGTTTAAGCTATATTGCATGTGAAGATTTTGGAGGTGGAGATTTATAGCCTTTTCTTACAGAACTTGATATCGTTAAACTTATCAATTTGATGGCGGATCCAGAAAGGTTCAAACAACAATCACCAGTGACAACAGATTCACCCGCTGTAAAATACTAGACTTCGTTCGTACTTCGGAGTAGCTACATTAAAAAAGAAAACAAGGATACATATCGGAAGGACATTACATGTTGTCAAGCAATACTGATGTTGTTAACATTAACAATTTGAAGTATAATTTACACGGTTTTTCATGATATGTTAAGAGATTTTTCTATTTAATCAGTGCGATTTACTGCAATGTCAGAACCAGAACAAAAGTGGATGTTTCTTACTAGTTCATGACATTTTCCGGGGAAAATTATGTTGTTTATACTTCCTAAAAGAATAATCTGGCAGTATCCACACCGGCACGGTGACTGACAGCTGCAAACTCTCCTCAAACATTGTGTTCATCCTCGCTGTGCCGTGTCAAAGCACAACTCACGTAAAGTTGATAAGACCACAAATGACTTCAACTGGAGATTTCGAACAGAGATGGCGACACAAAAAACTTTGGACTGCAGCTTTAAAAATTATTTTTTTTAAATTTTTTCCCCATATTTGACAAAATCAAACTGTCTAGATGGTGTAACTGTAAAAATGTATTTACCCTAGTAATAAACAATTTTTTTTTGTTGTTGTTGTTGAGCAGTGAAGAAATTAAATTTTGCCCACCCATTCAAAATCAGTGTGGCATATCCATACACATCATGTAAAAAGACAACTTTTAAACACAGTGGACCCCTTTTAGACTCATGATTGGGTCATTTATAAAAAATAAAATAAAAAAACAACATATTGTGAACAAACATTTTGATGAGGTCCAAAGGAGTAATCTTAAAGGGCACCTATTATGCCCCTTTTTACAAGATGTAATATTGGTCTCGGGTGTCCCCAGAATGTATTTGTGAAGTTTCAGCTCAAAATACCCCACAGTTAATTTATTATAGCCATTTGAAAATGTTATTTTGGGCCCTGATTAAAAATGAGCTGTTATGGGTGTCTGCCACCTTAATGCAAATGAGCTGCATATCCCCGCCCTGCCTTTGGATGAGGGCGTAACTTGATACCGCAGAAGGTGAGAGTGAGAGACGCGCAGTTTTGAATGTCATTCAGCGTACGTTTGAATCGGAATATATAAATAGTACGAAGAGAGACTCCGGCAGAATAAACACTTGAGAATGGACTAGTACGTCTCGGTATGGTTATTTGATACATTTATGTACTTATAGCGTTGTTGTAATCGCGTCTTTTTGCAAGTATGGATGTGCAACACACACACAAACACTAATGCTGGCGCATTTTTTTGAAACTACATAACTTACACATTCTGTGATAAAGTTTGCTACGTACACGCGAAATTACATTTATGCGAGGGACCTGTGGCGTCATGTTTAGCTTGTTATACAGGTGCTTCTGTGGCAAATGTGAGAAGATGGCTAACTTACAGAACAACAACATATATGCAGTTTTTAATACAATATCTTTAAATATATATTTATAAAGTGTGGTTACACACTATACAAACAATGTTTAAATTATATACACAGACATCCTATGACGACAACAACTTTAGACGCATAATTTCGTTGTTGAATTGGCTGACAGACTGAAATTACTATTTGCTCAAAAATCATAAAATACACTTACTACACAGGTGACGGTGGATCGCAAACAGTAGACGACGATCCACACTTGAGGATTAATTTTTAAGCCACAACAACAGGATTAACCCACGAGTCCACGACAGAACATTATGTTTCCATGAGACATTACCGGCTGTCGTTGAAACAATGGAGGATGTGTGTACAGATCACCGAGGGCGGGGTCTAGGCCACAGCCACACTGTCAATCAAACCCCTTTCTCACTTCTACGTCACAAAGAGCTGAATCTCCGTACTGAACAGCTCGTTCTGAGGCAGTGGCAGTGCATATGATTTATTGAGATTGAAAAAAAAAACCAGTGGGTGGATTTATATCATTCTAGGGTGGTTTTACTCACATTTATGTTCAAACACCATGTAAAAGTGAATTTTCCATAATAGGTGCCCTTTAAGAAAATGAATACAGACTAAAAACAAGTATATTTTTACCTTGAAAATGATCTAAAAGGTTTGGGTTTTTATCAGTGTTTTAGAACATTTTACTTGGTTACAGGACTTCACATTAAATAAACCAAACCAAAATGGACTTATACACCACAATCTTGCTGTGAAAAAAAAAACTTGGTTAAAAGTAGCAATGACTGCAGTTAAAGGACTTACTCCATGCTATTTTTGTCACAACCTGAGTGTTATTTATACATATATACATAACAGTCTATTTGAATATGTTTTTTCCCCTTCATCGGAATAGGAAGAAAGTGTTTGGAATGAAAAGGAAGGCTCCACTCATTGACTGATTGAATTTCCCCATCTGTTTTTTTCAAAAGGAAGCCAGTTTTATTTTTGAGGTCTCTTCAGCAGACATCTCGTTCCTGGCTCAGATCAGTCTTCCCAAGAAAAACGAGGGCTAGTTGGAATTCCTCAAAGAGGGCAGGAAATAGGGTGGAGGGACCAAAGACAAGGTTGTAGTTGTGACCACATGGGAATCGCAAACATGACGGCTGTAGAAATTTGGCATGATGTTTAGTGCAACTTAATCTCCTAAACAGTTCTAGATTGGCAGCATGGCTTCCAGTAAAGGTAAAACTAAAAATAGGCTCTCAGTAAAAAAAAAAATATATATATCAGAAGTCTCTGACGTTTTTTCCACATAAATCTTTCAATTGTGGGTCCTTATTTGCTGTGAATTAAATGGCAGGCAGACCTTTACTTTTCATTGTATTAATGCCGTATATATTTAGCAATTTGAAATTAAATCATAGAACATCATTTTATACAAGAAATGAAAACTACTTGTATAATCATTTTTGGTTAATATGAGGGACACTACACCTATTCTTAATTTAGTTCTTGCCTTAAGAGGAATAGTGACACAAAAAAAATGCCAACGCATCATTCAACTCTTCTATTTTCAATCAGTGTTGATGGTACGTCCGTGACAAGAAGCTGTTTTGTTCTGAGAAAAACTTTGCATTCATTTTAAAACAAAGCAGCTGGGCTAAAATAAGCTACTTTATAAGAACATTACGCAAATTTAGCCTCTGTTTAATCAAGGCCTGTTTCCCCTGCCAAAGAAAATCAACACTCTTACCACTTCAGTTATAAAAACAGCAGGGTGTGGTGGTACCCTGTATAGAAATGTGTTTACAACAGACTAAATGTAAAAAATAAAAAATAGTCAAATAGGATATTTTCTGGGGTTTCTCATTTAGGGAGGTTCAACCTAACAACAAATGACAGAATTGAGACATTAAACAAACGAACACCATTTTAAGTTCATCAGTTGACATTGGTGGTGAGCCAGTGTTTGAAGAGCCATAAAGGTAACCTACATGGCAATTAAAGGGATAGGTCATCCAAAAATAAAAATCCTGTCATTGTTTACCCATCCCCATGTCATGCTGTTTGGCTTTAAAACAATATATGGTCCCCAAAACTGTTTGGTTACCAAGGAAAGTTTGGAACGACTTGAGGGTGAGTGAATGATATCAGAATTGACATTTTTTGCCAAACCTTTTTAAAGCATACCAACAGTCAGAGCTAGGAATGTTGAAGAGCTAGAATCGAGAGGAAATGACTCATATGCTGAAACATAAAGAATCATGATGCAACCACCACCAATTCACCCATCGTTTGAGGTCGTGCTAGGTTTCAATCTGGTATTGCCTTTATTAAATACTTCACAATTTCACCTACAATGAATGGTTACAAAATGGTTACCTTTTGTCAAATACGGACACGTTTCAATTTACAAAGCTGACATTTTGCAGAGAGGCAACCCAAAAACAAAAACCCAGATACTTCAGAGCAGTCAATAAGACCTACCACGTTTCAGGGAAAGACTGACAGAACTGTGAGAGAACAAAAGAAAGACATGATAAATTTTCCCCTCAACATTAGCTGCTGAGCAATTCAAGTTAATTTACAAACCAGATGCAAAGAATATGTACTATACACATGTATATATTTATATTTATATATATATATATATACACATTCATAAAATGGTTCAATTTGACAGCCATGTTACAAAGAAAAAAATAGCAGACTGCTTAAGTATAAAAAATAAATAAAAATGATCTCACATGTGACAAACAAGTATAACAGTAGGTCTGATCTGTGAAGTGGCACCAACAGACTAAACACGAATTTGAAACAATAGGAATATAAGGGGCATCCATACAGACATGAAAAAGGAGCCAACTAGTCTAAGCAGAAGAAATGTAGCTAAAATTTCTTAAAAGGATCTAAATCACTGGTGGGAACCAACTGAAAAGTGCCAATGAGCAACAGGAACTAGTTCAGTTCCACCTCAGGAGGCAGAGGGAGTGGCAGTAAATGAAGTCTCCCTGCTGCCAGATGATGTGGTGGGGTTAATGGGTCATAATCCAACAAACCTGTTTGGTGTAGGCTGATGAAATTGTCTTTACAATGCCAAAATTAATGTAATTCAGTGTCTCCTGATGTACACACCCTTAGAGGTCCTTAAAATGACATTTATTTAAACGTTTCTTATTTGGTTTTTTAAAATAGACATTTCGTTTTTATCTTTCCCTCACTACTACAGACTTCATCCCTCCCAATCCCAACCGTCCAATAGAAATATATATGTGAATACTGTGGAGTGTAATCTGGGCTGGCAGGGGTGAATAACTTTATATATCAGGTCTCAGTGAAGCCACACACCTAAAAGTCCTAAAGCAGCTCACAACAACACAGTAGAGTTCACTGTTCACTGGCAAAACGGTGACGCTGTGGGGTCAAAGCCTTTGAAAACGTCCTTTAGAGAGGCATTGTCCTGTTCAGCCGTGTCAGGCTGGGCGGGGCTATTGCCGCCAAAAGGGCTGCCGGTGCCGCTTGGTTTGTTGGCCTGCTTTACCATGGAGAACAGTGTGGATACAGGAAGGTTGTGGACCCCCGCGGGCTGCTCCGCAGAACCAGGAGGGCCCTGACCAGCCGTGGTTGGAGCACCTGTAGCAGGGGTCCCTGTGGCTGTCCCTGCATTGGGCGAAGGTGACGGTTTGGGTCGAGGGCGATTGTAGCTGTTGTAGCGATCCGTAGTCTGCTCCGTCGAGCTCTTCTCTGGTTCCGGCTGGTCCAGTGCAGACTTGCGCACAAACAGCGGCTCTTTAGATTTGGGCTTAGCTGAAGGTGCTGTACTTTCGCTTGACTTTGGTTCAGGGGGGGGGCTAGTGTTTCTAGTTGCCCCTGAACCGTCTGCCTTGTCTGAGCCCTGAGTCCGAGGATCGTACAGACTGATGCCGCTCAGCACGCTGCTGCTGCTGCCGCCGCCACCACCACTACCTGCACCGCCAGCTCCCACGCCTCTAACGGACCCTCCTGCCGATAGCAGCCGAGGGTCATAGGGTGCAATGGTGGGGCTGGTGGAAGGTGGAGATAAGGAGGCGGCTGGGGGAGATCCTTGAGGAGCAGGTGGCTCAGAGGTGGACTTGAGGGCAGATTTCTGTGGCTGGAGTCGGGGGTCGGCAGGGGCTTTTCGTGCCATGCGAGGGTCAACAGGTTTCTCAACAGAGATGGACGGAGGTGACGAGATTCCTGTAGAAGCACCTTGAGTGGGGCTGGATGAAGTGGCGTTGACAGTTTTGAGGATTCGGGAGAGCAGCTCAAAGTCTGGAAGGGTAGAGGAGGATTGATTTGATAGCTCAGCAGGAGGAGCAGTAGAAGGAAGAGAAGCGGAGTGGTGCTGGGGCTGGGTGCGAGACAGACGAGGATCTATGGCAGTAACTGGAGGGATGCCAGGGGGCAGTGGGAGCAAGTCTTGTTTGGGAATGGGGATAGGGATGAGGTCTTCAGGACTCCACAGCACCGCCTTAGAAAACAAAGGCTTGTTCAGGACTACATCCTTTTTAATGTGGCTGAACTGCTGTAGTTGGGAGCGGGGATCACGCAAAGCCATGCCCATCAAAGGGTCGAGAGGGATGGGCACAGGCTTGTCCCTTAGCATCCTCTCACCCTCCTCTTCCTCATTACTGGCTGGGGCGGTCAATGGAGGAGGTTTGTACACAAGTGGAGGCTCTGGTTTAGGGGCATGGGCGGCTGCATGCCGGGCAAGTCGAGGGTCTGAAGGGGTAGGAGATAGGGCGGATGAAGCACTGGCCTCGGGTGCCTGAGAGTCTGTGTTCCGGGAGAGACGCGGGTCTCGTGCCAGCCGGGGGTCTGCTGGTCGGCTGGGTGGAAGTGGGGGCTGAGACTTTTGTAGACGAGGGTCACTTGGAGCTCCATCCTGCTTGGCAGGGCCTTGGGTCTGGGTTTGTTGGCGTAAAGTTTTGAGAATGGAAGTGACACTGCCACCACCATCCTCATCTTCACTGGAATACCAGTTTGCTGAATCTCCTGTGAGTAAAAGGAATTGATTTAGACCAATTTAGAACTCTATCTGAAGGCTTGAAATTGCATTTTAGGTTGGTTAAAATTAGCCGTCAATCACTGCGCTCTGTTGTCACGTGACAGGGAGCTAGCTAGCAGTCAAAATGTAAAGTGCTGAAGAGAGATGAAAAGAACACCGTTACAATATCACATACCCAGTACTTGATTTGTTCTGCTTAAATACTTCACTAAAATGCTCCAAAACTGAATTTTTATTTCCTTCCTTTTGTTTTGTTTTTAATTCTCCTTTTTTAAAATTGATCATGGATCTGTTTTGCATCTATTGCATCTTAAAAAAAATCAGGCCCTGGAACTGCGAGTTTAATGAGAGTCTGCAAAGTAATGCCTGACAAAACAACATTAGTATTTACAACATAATGTTGGAAAACACTTTTATCAGAATTATTTGTATATTTTAAGTTGAGGACGTTAAGGTATTAGTTAAAAGTTTGTCAATGAAGAAAAATTTGTTTTGTGACAACCTTAACAAGGGACTAGGGCTGAGCGGGGCAGTAGGGGGCGGAGCAAGTTTGGTACGCTATGAGAGTATTGCAACACGTACCGTGGGTGGTGTAGCGCAGTTTTTAGTTTAGTTTGAATATCGTTACATCCCTAATATATATATATATATATACACATACATACATTTTAGTTGTTGTGCTCCTAAATTTTAGGTTTGAATATTGTTACATCCCTAATATATATATACACACACATTTTAGTTGTGGTGCTCCTTAATTTTTTTCTTGTGCTCCAAACTTTTTGAAGCTGGGAGCACCAGTGCTACCAAGTTAAAAGGTTCATTTTGAGCCCATAATCTGATTTTCTTTTTCTGGTAGTCTCATCTGAAAACATCAGCCTCTGTTAGTTTCAGTAGTATTAGTGCCAGAAAGCACCATCTAGTGGAGGGACAAGATATTTTGGTGGCAAGATTGCACAACCCCAGACCAGAGGATGTTTACAGTATTATGATGTCCTGGGCAGGGTCAAGCTCTGAGCAGAGTCCTTGAGATGTTTCCTTTCCAGAAATAGCCATAGTAAAATATACATTTGAAGTCAGCACTTTGAAAACCTCAGCTATTTGTATGACAACAATGTTACAATAATCAAAATGCTTTCTTGAAAAGTATTTTGGTAAAAAAAAGGAACATTCCTGAATAAAAGATATGCATGTTGTTTCCAAAGAAAATATGTCATATGATTGCACTGAATACTGCCACCGCAGGAAATGGAGTTGTGCAGTAGTACCTTCATTCTCCCTCTCAGTTCCTCCTCCTTCAGCAAGCCTCTTGGCTCTCTCCTCATCTTCCTGCTGTTTCTGCTGGAGCCTCATAAAAAGCACACGCTGTGCTGGGGGGAGGAAATCTGGCACTGCCATCCCAGGCTGATTAGATGGGCCTACATTAGGTGCACCCTCTACATTTCCAGAGTTCTGGTTCCCAGGTGACTGATCATTGAAGTTTCCACCACCTCCCCCTTGAAAGTTGTCACCTGTACCGGGAGGCAAAGAATGGGACTGAATACTAATGTTTCATAAATACAGCAGCGTATGACAATAAAGCAGCTCAACTGGTAGAGCATGGTGGTGGCCAAAACAAAGTCATCGGTTCGACTCTTAGGGAATGCATATACTTTGATTTAAAATCAATTTGGATAAAAACATCTAAAAAATGCTTAAATGCAACTGTGGTTTTGCCAGCTCTGAATTTACAAAACCAAAGTTGAAGTAACAAATGAACTCACCATCTCTTCCACCTCCATCTATTGACATGACTTGCTGCTGCTGGTAGAAGTTATCATAGAAGTTGTTACCAGATGATCCACCACCTTGAGGCATCATTCCCGCGTTTGGTGGTCCTTCTACCTGGCCAAAATTCTGCATCATTGGCGGTCCTGGTGGAGGGCCTTGATTCATGTTAGGTGGGCCCATAGGAGGCATATCATGAGGACTGCCTGGAATTATGTGTCCTGGTGGCGGGACACAGGGAAAGCGAGGTGGAGGTGCACCTGGAGGACCTACAGGAGGGCCCTGAGGTCCAGCAACACTTGCAGCAGCATTAGCAGGACCTGGTCCTCTGTAAAAGAGAGCATCTGTCTCAGTATATTCTGTATGCAGCTAGTAAGTAAACCAACATGATTTGATAGAAAGAAAAAGACAGCTAACCTGACACCAAGTTTTTGTGCTAGCTGTCCTGTGGGCTTCACCACAATCTCAAACAAGGAGGGGATCTTCTTCCCAGCATTTCCTCCACAAGCAGGTGGTGGACCCATAGGTGGCGGAGGAGGACCGTTGGGGTTTAGAGGCCCTTGGAAGGTGCCTCCATCTGGGCAGGGAGGAGGAGGAGGGCCTGGGCAGGGCCCAACTCCAGGACCAGGACCTGGGCCAGCACCAGGGCCTGGAGCTGGTGGACCACTTGGAGGAATATTACCATGTGGGGCAACAGGCATTCCAAATTCCATAGGCGTGGAAGAATCCCCTGGAGAAGGTCTTGGTGGAGTTGGGAGAAGACCAACACCAGGGGGTGGTTTTGGAAGAGGGTTAATGCCTTGCTTTTTCAATTCCTCAACCTCTTTCTCATCTTCTGCACCAGCTTCTGCATCCTCTGCCAGCATCTTAATTGGAAGAAAAAAACATGTGTGATGTTAGTCAGGGTCCACAGAAACATCAACAACTCTACAAACTACATTTAAAATATCTGCGATGACCACCTTATCCAGCAGCTCTTGAGTATCTTCTGTTAGGGAGTCATGAGAGAACATGCACTCTTCACCATTCACACAGTTCCCTGTGGTATGGAACAACTTGCAAGGGAAATCACGTGCCGTAGAGTCAAGGAGTTATTTTACAACGTGTGGAAACTCTTACTGTTTTCAGAGTGCAAGTACATTATAAGAGCTTATATGACAATACCAGCAAGCAAAATGACCAAAGGATATCATGCATGTAGGGACAGTTTTCTGCTCGTGCACAGAAACCAGTGATGTAAAACTTGCAGAGTTCCTTCTTCTTAGGCAGCTCAATGTCATGGCTAAAGTTACAGTGGTCACCCTGATGATAAATTGACAGGAATTAGTACAAAAATAACTATTATTGTCAACAAGTCATATGAGATTTTACATCATATTATAAGTCAGACATAATTAATTTATTAAAACATACTAAAAACTTTTTAATACTCAGAAACAACAAGGACATCTAAACTGTTTCTCAACCAATTTTATCTGGAAAATCTTCCAAAGTTGGATTACTGTGTTTACCCAAGTACAGCGGCCCTCAATATAGTATTTACAGATGGCTTTCCCCTTCTTGTCTGGCCCATGTTTCTCCTGCTCATGTCTCCTCGGGCCTCCAGATCCATCCTAAAGCAGTCACAGAAAAAATAATTCAGATGCTTATTTATGTTCTGCTGATGAAATATGAACCAAGTAGATAATCTGAAGAACTGTCTTACTCCCAAGTCCATTTCTCCGTTGTTATCTTCATCAGGACCTTGGTCTCCTCCACGGCCTCTCCCTCGATTTCTCCCTCTGCCCCGGTTCATTCCTCGACCTCCTTTCCCTCTCCCGCGACCTCGTCCACCTTTCGCACCTGAAGAAAAAAACACAAAGAAATGAAAAACACTCCAACATAAATAATGGTTTACCTTCACATTTAATAGTCAAGCAGAACTCACCCCGCCCTCTGTCCTTTGATTTCCTGTACTGGTTTAGTTCTTTTGAATAGTCATCATAGTCATCGTCTCCCATGTTTTCATAGTCATCCTCTCCATACTGTCAAAGAAAACATTCATGCTTTAGGGGAAGTAAAAGACAAACTGACTGATGTGTAAAGCTTGCCTAGTAATAATGACAGATTATGTAATTCAGGATATCTGACCAATCATGTGTTTTTCAGTTATTAACGATTTTTGGAAAAGATTTTGATTTATACTCACAAAAAATGCAATTTTAGCCCATTAAATATTTTACAGCAGAGCTATATTCCCTATAGAAATGTAATGTTTTTTTTTTCACCATTTTCCACATAATATATTGCATAGCCTACATTACATTTACTATATTTGTTTCCATATCATTCAATATGAACAATGTTTGTAGGATATAATTGGGCAGGATGTGAAATAATAATAAAAAAATACAGTTTTTACTTATCCAAATAGAAAAATGTAGAAAGTACCGAGATATATAAAACCTATCGCCATTTAACCAAAAAATACCGAGATATGATTTTTTGGCCATATCGCCCAGCCCTAGGTATGAGCTTTTGTTTAAAACATGAATTATGACCCACCTCCATCTCATCTCCATACATGCCATCACCATCATCATTCTCTCCTCCCATTTTGCCCCGTCCTCGTCCTCTGCTGCCTCCTCGCCCACCACGTCCTCTCATTCCTCTCCCTCGACCTCTCTGGTTCTTCATGCGGTTTTTGCCACCTGTGTGACAGTAATAATGGTCAGCAGATGTAATTGCACACACGCTGACACACTGGTGTAAATTCACACACTTTGAGCTGGAGAATGAAGTAGGCAGACACTGATCATGTGATACTAGTTATAATTATGACGCAACTAAACGACAAAATCCACCCATACATTATTAGAAATAATGTATTGCACATATGTTTTATTAATACCCATTCAGCCAGAACCATTCACCATTAAATTAACATTCACCTCTGCCACGAGGACCCCCTCCAACCTCTTTGGCCTTGCGGTACTGATTTAATTCCTTGGTGAAATCATCATAGTCATCATCACCCACTTCCTCATCCTCTTCACCTTCATATGTTTCCTCCTCATAGTCATCATAGCCACCATAGCCCTGCTTGTCCATCTTCATATATCCGCCTTTCTTTGGGATGGGACCTCCATGAGCAGAGGAAGCAGGAGGGTACCCTCCTTGAGACTACAAAATATAGACTGGGATTAAAACCTAATCTGATTGGTTGGCCAGTCTAGGTAGTTGTTGTGGTATGAATGTTATTTTAAAATCAAATATAAATGTTTTACTAATATAAATGTTACTTTAAATAGAACAAAAAACAATGTTTTACTCACAGTGGGAGGATACTGAGGGCTGTATTCCCTGTACTTCCTCTTTTCACTGGGACTGTAATCTGAATCATCACTGTAGTCTGAGTGGTCATCGCTGGAGGAAGCGTGCCGCTGCATTACACACAAAAACATTTGATAAGATGATACAGATGATATAGACTATCCACCACTAAACGTTTGTAGTCAGTAGGATTAAAAAAATAATAATTCAGCAACGACACATTCATTTGATCAAATGTGAATATATGTGACTATACCAGAATTTCCCTGTTGAACAGATTCTTAAACACCTCTGATAGTTCATTGTGCTCACTCGCTGTGATTTGTCTGTGATTGGCTACAATGATCAACGCTTTAAAAAAATGTTGTAAATAGATGCTCTTCACCAAGTACTTACACAAATGCACACGAAAGCAGGTGTGTATCAGCGGATCCCTAATATATCTGCTGATAGCTGATAGACTCTTGCTTTCAAACGCTCCCGTGTGCATGTGTAAGCCCCCGGTGAAGAGCAACAAAGACATCTATTTACAACATGTTTTTGAAATGCTTACATGTTGAACATGTGAATACAATGGCCAATCAGAGGTGCATAAAAATCTCTTCAAAATGCTAAGAGGAAAATGCTGGTATCATCAAAATTATTTATTTTTTTTAGTACCAAAGTCTGTACTTTTGCCAACACTAGTACAATGTCACAAAATATTTCAATTTCAAATAAATGTTGTTCTTTTGAATTTTCTATTCATCAAAAAATTCTGACATCAAAAAAAGACCACAATTGTTATCAACATTGATAATAATAAGAAATGTTTCTTATTAGCAATAAATCAGCATTTTAGAATTATTTCTGAAGGATCATGTGACACAATAATGGAGTAATGATGCTAAAATTTCGCTTGGCATCACAGGAATAAATATTTTAAAATAGAAAAGTTATTTTAAATTTTAATACGATTTCACAATATTACTGTTTTTTTATTGTATTTTGGTCAAATAAATGCAGTGCTTCTCTCAATATCAACACAAACACTTACCTTGTGCTTAGATTTACGCTTTTTCTTGGCCCTCCTTTTCTCTTTTTCACGCTCTCTCTCCCTCTTTCTCTTTCTCCTCCGCCGATGTGACTTTTCATCATCCGATTCACTGACATGGCGTTCTTTGCTGTGGCGAGGTTTATCCTGGGGATCAGCTCCCTCACCGCTGGGCACCTCTGCCTCTCCGCCATCATCCTCCAACTCGCCTTCTTCCAGTTCCCCATCTTCTTGCCTGTTTGACATGTAAAAAGCACAGAAAGAACATCACAACTCTGAACAGGATTACACAGGAATCTTGGTTGTTGTTTTTTTAATCACTGCCATTTGAGAAATCTTGATCTATGGTAACTGGTTAGTTGCACAAAAGCTACTGTTGTCAAAAGCAGTGCAGAACAGAACATTAACTCTATTAATTGCTTTTTAAGTGGGCCTTCATTCTTAATTCTGACATGGTGACTTCTGCTGATCTGCCTATTAACAATTCACATGTCTTTACGGTGTAGATAACTAAGCAAATTGGGATGTCTTAACAGCATTTTATCTTCAAACTTTCAGGCAGTAAGGGTAGCGCTAAAGGGCAACAGGACTGCCAATATGCCAATATAGTATTGCATGCGTACAGATGCAATACTATAATTGAGTTGCTTCAAGCATCACACTAGTGGTGTCAAATGTTGGCAGATTATTTGTCACATGCTGAGAACAACCCAGAGTCATTACAGAGCCGATCTGTTTATAGAAGATGTAACATACAAGTACAGGACACTGGTGGTAAACACTCATTACGTTCAGGCAGAAATGCCCTTTAAAACTAAGATAAGGAGTTGCCACATAAGACATAGAAGCAATGCTGCACTTTTGAATTTTGCATTGACAAAACATTATCACCTAACCCCTCAACTTTGGCCTATTAAAACAACAGATCCCAGCAATTCAACTTCTGACAAGAGAATGTGTGATTCCAGATGAACTGCAATGCAAAGCTGTGTGTGAGATACGATTCAAAAGATACAAGATCGATTATTACCACAGAAGTTAAACCAGCTGCATAATGTACAAAAACGCTTAAGTGATGACAATTTAAAACTCTCACTCATCTTCCAATCAGTATGAAGTCTGCATAAAGGTCTTAATACAACCATTCCTATAAACTTTATTGGAAGACAAAACTTATTCTAGTGAAATTTAAATCCTCCAACTATGTGGATATTTTTCAGGATTCTTCCAAAGCTTTTTTTTTTTTTTTTACAATTAGTCTACAATCAAGAGACAAACTTCTTTTCTCAATGGACTGTCTGTACAAGATCTGGCATTAAATTAGGCTAAACTTATGTCATCTGCTTCTGAACATGTAATGTCTTTAAAGTATTACAGAGGGATTCAATTTATGAATTATGACTGCATTAACTACAAATCCCTCGGTCTCTATCAAAATAATCTCCACAAGCATTTATATCATGTTGTGAATAAACATCTACGAGCTTCAGCATATATCTAACAGCTCTAGCAAGTCTCAGTGAGCATGCTTATTATTGAACATACTGAAGTACCAAAAGAATATGGTCAGACAAAAACCAGGCCACACTTGTAATTATTACTTGTCAAACACACCTTGTGAAAACAATTGCCAAAAGAAAGGATGCCAAAGTAAACAAGGAAGGGATTTCTTACATCATGTAAAGTGTTGCAAGAAAAACTTGGCAGATAGACAGCTTGAAAACTACCTCTAATTTTACTAAAGAAAAGTTACTAACAAACTTTGTTCTCTTTAAGTACCCAAGTTATAAGATACAATATCATGCAAAGACAAACAAATGTGACTAAAAAATACTGGCCTTCGTATTTCTGGTAATGAACTGAAAATACTTACTGCGAAATATTAAATTTATGCATAAATGATTTTCATGGAAGGTGATAGGTTGCATTTGGGGCATTTGCAGACAATGGTGGTATGGTTAAGAACCTTTGTGTTTTGCTTCATGTTTTGGTAAGACCTTGAATGCTTCTGAGACATTGGACAAATCACTGGTTCATAAGGGATGCATGTGCACATAAAGCTAACTAGTTTACAACAAAAACTAGAGTATGTTGAAACAGGAGCACCTTTTGTGGAACATTTAACAGATTATTTACAATACGTTATAGATTTCTAGTACTGTCGACAATGTATCTGACGTGAAAGACTTGAGGGACAGTATTTAACCAATTAAGGGAGCCAAAACATTAAAAATAAGGAGGGGAAATAATTTTCGTTGTTAGTTCCTATCAAAATGTCGTACTGTTACTAAAATGTAGCTATTATGTTAAACCAAAATTTTCTTTTAGAATAGACATGAATAAAAAAATAATAAAAATAGCTGTACTAACTACTTGCACTACAAGAACGTAATACTTGAAAATATAGAGGTATCATTATATAGTTCTTTTTAACGTTAAAATAAAAAATAACGTTATCAATAAATCTAAGTGCGTAGCTCGTGACACTTAGCACACACTCAGGATGAGTGCTAAACGGTGACAAATTTAAATCGTCTTTCTTAAATAATGATATTACATTAAGATAAACTGAATCGTACTGTATTCGATGGCTAATTGAATGAATTGAAAGAATGGTTAATCAAGCGACCAAGCCATAATCCATGCTAGTTCGTGGCTATTCTTTAGCTTCTGTTAGCCGTGTTGTTGTTGTATTTCACGTAGCCGTCGGCTAACTCTGTTAGCTTTAGCTTTGTCCGGGCCTCGCGATGGATAAAAATACAAATTCCTTAATGCGCTACCGGGGATGAATTTTACCACTTATCCGTCAAATTACGTACAATTTGCGTTCGCAATTAAGATTTTAATTGGACATTAATAACCAAAAACTTGTTTACTCGTGTGTGTTTTTTCTTTTGTCCGTCCGTTATTTATCTGTGATGAAAACATTAAGTTACTGGAGCAATGTTTTGGCGTAGTTGTGGCCCGCTTGGTCTTCGATCACTTAAAAAGCTTCGAAAAGTGACGGAAAATGTAAATTTGATCATATTCGGAATGTTTTCCTGATTCGCTTGTGACCTTCCAGGTTGCGCTGTTTAACGTTTCAAGATGGCGTTTCGTTACCTCTGTACGCTTCCCAGAAAAGGCGACTTTAATCCCTTTGAAAGAAAAAAGCAAATGCCCGTGCTTTTGTTTTTGGAAAAAAGCAAAGGACAAATCAATAGTTGGATAGAAATATGATGATATTACTCGACCTTTCGTCAGTGAGAAGGCTGTTGTGTTCGTGGTTGGCTGTTGGGGAGTTTGGATGGACAGTCATGCTTTCCACAGCCATTTCCTCTAACGTACTACATTCAGTGCAAAAAATCAACTGTCTTATGCGTTACTTGACTTTGATCTACTTGTTGATTGGTTTTAGGAAGAGATTCAGTTCATAGTAGTCAATTCCCCACTAACAGTTTAAAAGAGAAACAGGTTGAAAACGTTCCTGAGGTTCTCCGTCCTACAGTTGCGATGTGAAATGAAACTCATTCACTTAAAATGGCGAAGCTTCTTCTCCGAGGAGAAGGGGACGGGCTTATGTGACGTGGATTCATGACGTAGTCTGTCACGGAAATGACCGACCGGGCCATGAAGAACAATACATTATTTTTGACCATAGTAAATATATATTTCGAATTACAGTATTTTTTGTGACTCCAGATTATTCAATAATAATAATAATAAATACTTTATAATATATTTCAGTTTCTTGATTGCATGCTTCTTCCTTTTTTGATGTTAAATTTTAATAAAGATAGATTTTTTTATTAGCCTATATTAATAGTATTATATCACAATGAAATACAGTAATAATAGCAATAATTTAAATAAGTCATTCTGGTCTGGGGCTCCTTGTGAGTTTGTTTCGGGCCCTGGCCCAATGGTTGTGAACCATTGCTTTAACTCGCCAGTAAACCAACACAGTAATTCTGATATACATATTGACTCTGTGACACAATCAACTGCTCCTGAAATATAAATTATGTGTAGTCCATAAAGAAAGGCTATGATGAATGTTCTGTAACATGAAATAATATTGGCTTGGTGTAGAACTTATTTTTTTTGTTTTGTTTATTAAAATGTCCTGCTTTTTAAAAGTTCATGCCCTGGGAGCATTATTGTACACAACAATTATGTCCATAAATAGAAATATCCCACCCTTCATTAAATTATATTGTCTTGGATTAAAATATCAGTTTCTTAAAGACTAAAATATTTAATTTAATGTAGCCTATATTAAACATGCTCATGGAAACAATAATTTAATAATATAAACAGTTATGTATATTCCAATAAATATATTATATTTTATCTCTCTATAAAGTTAAGACTATTACAATATTTCTTTACATTATACATTTAAATTTAGTTTAAAATCAAAATCAAGTTAGTGTGATCTTCATATACATTGACTGAATAATATTTGAGAATGTTTAAAAATAAAAAAAGATACTTTATTCTTTGAATTTCTAATGTGATTTATGAGTAAATGTTATAAAGAGACTTATGTTCTATTAATATGTAAGTAGATTATAACACAATGGTATTTGGATAAAACAAAAATGAGGAAAACATTCTTTCCTATTTCTATGGGACATGTTTTTTTTTAAGTCAGGGATGTACAGTACACAATCATTTAATTTGACTTTATAAGAATTTAAACATATATTCAATACATTGTGTGATGTATTTAAAAGCTTTAGAGTGTATCCATGTCCATTGTTGTGCTCTGAATCCGTCTGAATCTGGCGCGTTTGACCAACTCATACGTCATCATTGTGCGCCTTTACGAGTATCTCTAAGCGGCACTTCTGTAACCATTGAATGGGCAGTGGGGAAATAAACAGGGTGTAGAATATTCAAACTAGCCTCTCAGTTAATTTCTTACAACTTATTATTAAAACCGAAAATATTTTAAAATGATTGATACCATCGAAAAAGAAGACAATATTATCAGCGAGGAGGAGGCTGCACAGTATGATCGTCAGATTCGCCTGTGGGGTCTGGATGCTCAAAAGAGGTTTGTGGAAAACGTACATAAAGAACAAACGTATTCATGTTATTATAAGCGATTTTTCCGTCTCTTTAAGTTCTTCATAAACATGATTTCAAACGCATTATTTGTTTATCTTTCACAAAGAATAGAGTATCAGGGCCACCCCACGAATTCATTTTTCTGATAGTTGTGCATGAATAGCAAACAATATAATGTAACATAAATAATATATGACGTGTATATAAATGTTGCATTTTCAGACTTAGGGGATCACGCGTATTACTTGTTGGACTTCGGGGACTTGGAGCAGAAGTAGCAAAAAACCTTATTTTGGCTGGAGTTAAAGGACTGACTCTCCTGGACCATGAGCAGGTATTAATTAGACTGACTTAAAGGGTATTTCACGTCATTCTGTCATCATTTGCTCACCTTCAAGTTCTTATTAATTTTCTTCCAAATCTGACTTTTTTTCACTGTGGAACAGAAAAGAAGATGTAAGGCAGCATGACAAGAATTCGCCATACATGTTTATTGTATGGAAAAGACATGCAATAAAATTGAATGGTGACTGAGGCAAATAACAGCTACTTAACTAAGTGGTATTTTCTATGACTTCCATTAATCAGGTGACAGAGGAGTCCAGACGTGCTCAGTTCTTGATTCCTGTGGATGCAGATGGAAAAAACCAGGCCCGGGCGTCTCTGGAGAGAGCTCAGTTCCTCAACCCAATGGTGGAAGTGAAGGCAGACACCGATCCAGTGGAGAGCAAGCCGGATGACTTTTTCTTCCAGTTTGATGCGGTGAGTGCCAGAATCTGTAGATTGGACATACCTAAAGCACACAAAAGGCAGATGAACAATATTGTTATTATATTCTAAATTACCATTTGGTTATTGATCATCAAACTAATATTTAAGAGACAAATGAGTAAGTATTGTAAATAAAATAGAATAAAATCATGCAAAACAGCATTGGACCGAATTTGTTATGCAACTTTACGGCACATATTACAATATAGCCTTTTTGAATAAAAATCCCATAAGAAATGGACAGGAACTGTCTTTTTGACTTTCTGTAATTTTAAGAAGGATCAGGTGTGTGTTTATTTATTTTTTTACTGAAATTTTTTATTGAAGAACAAAAAGTACGTACATCGATACACATCAGGGTGTACACACAAATACATAAGGGGAAAAAAAGATTTTGAATATAGTAATGGGAAATTATAATAATTAATTGAAATATAAACATACATTTTTTTATTACCATCAGGTGTGAATTGAGGTTCATCAATGATAGATTGTTTTTCTTTGTGCCTTTCATGTCCACTAGATGTCACTATACACAATTGATCATTTTTGTTTAGGACGGTTATATCCTCTTTTTTCCCTTATTTTCACCCTATCTATGAACAGCCAGCGTCAGATCTAAGCACAGACTTTTATCTGACTCTTTGAGTTTGGTCTTTTCCAAGTGTGTGCTCTTTTCCAAGCGAATGAAATGTTCCAGGCCATATTATAAATTAGGACTCTGTTGTTGGCTGTGGAAGATGCAGTCAGCATACATACCTTGTTCAAAGCACAGTCAGTCTTTCATCTTCTCCCTTTCTGTGAGCTGTCTGAACTGTCCCTCTGGGAGTGCTAGTGAGAGTTCAGGAGGAGGGGGTAGAGATGGTGGGAAACAGACACAGGAGGGGGGTTAACATCATCTATTCTCTTTCATCTGCTTCTCTTGGTATTTCGTTGAGAAGTGCACAGACTAACATTGCGTGTGTATGTCTTTGTCTTCTCTTGTTTATGTGTGGTCTTTTTTTTTGTGTGTGGAATTTTCCTAAAAAACAACGCACGCTGTTTAGTAAAGAGATAGCCAACAATACACTGAATTATTTCATCGTCGGGACCTGTACATACATGAAAAGATCATTTGAGACGACACATACTAGAAGGTTTTGTGCAACAAGTACAAAAGCATTGCTAGTGCAGGTGTTGATTTACATCTATGGAGGCCCATTTCTGCTACATAAGAAAAAACATACTCATATTGATGATAAAAAAGTCACAATGATGAAATACTAAGTCATAATGATGATAAAGTTGCATCATTTTTTTTAGTCGGTTATAGATTAAAATTGTGACATCATAATTTCACATTTTTATCTCAATTACGAATTAATATCATAATTTTGGCTTGACTTAGCATGCCATCCTTTAGCCCTTATGTAATAACTTCGACTTATGTCAATTATAACTTAGTATGACATATATTTCACTTTTATTCTCTTTATTTTTGAGGACCAGCTGTGTGCATCCAGGAACATTAAGGTCTTCCGTGGAGACATGTTTGGCTCGGATGTTCTCCGACCCCTAAAAGCGCTTTTATAAATGTAACATCATAAATTATTTACAAAAGCATTATTTATTTTCTTATGTAGTGGAAATGCATAACATCAAAGACATCTGTCATCATTTACTCACTCTCATGTAATTCCAAACATGCATGACTTACTTACTTCTGTAGAACACACAAGGAGAAAATAATGTACTGTTCATACTTTTCCATAATTACATTTATAGTCACACGACCTTTTATAGCTTCAATAAGAATGCAAAAGTGGATAGTTGTCCATAAAACATGGATGATACTGGGGTGTACGGTTTGAAGGACTTGCCAAAAACTTAAACTGAATGAAAGAATTGACCTCATGTAATGCCAAGTTACAGCTATTTAGCAGAGGCATATGGTAGATGCTGGGAGCTCTGATTGATATCCCATCCACTGTGGCATTATTTGTTTCTTCTTTGCATCCTCTAGAGGTCACTGCTTGATAAAGGTGTGTTATTTGTCGTCTGGATGCCTGGAAGCACGTAATGCTCACAGGAAGAATATGTGTCAAAAGGCAATGTCTCACCGCATGTTTCATAATGTCCCAGATGATCTTTAACAGTGGTGAAGGTGTTACTCCTAAGGGCACTACTTCATTGCAACAGTATTTCTGAGAAGTGTTGTTGATATCCAGGTGTGGATTGTGTAACCTTTGGAGATCTTTTCAAAAAGGCCTACTTAGGATAATCAGTTAATTTCATGAGTACATTAAGTTATGAAGTCACAGATGGTGTTCTGACAAGAGAAGTAAACAAACCCAATTCAGCAGATAAAGACAACGTGATGATTCAGCTGTCCTTCAAAATACACCCAGTTAACGCATTGTGGCGCATGCCACTGGTATATCAGATCGGTATTAATATGCCACCCCATTCTTATCTTAAACCCAAAATGTGGGGTGTGAGAGGTTTGGGACCTTGGATAAGAGTGCTAATGTTTTGGTCAGTTGTCATTCATTGCCAAACTTGCAAGGTGTGTTTTGAGGATGCATCAATGTCACTGGTTTGAAAACAACCACATATTAATGCAAGTTGTTTTGTTCAGATTTGTCTGACCAGGTGCTCCAAAGACCTCATGGTGCGAGTGGACCAGCTGTGTGCCTCCAGGAACATTAAGGTCTTCTGTGGAGACGTGTTTGGCTATCATGGATACATGTTCTCCGACCTCGGCCAGGAGCATCACTATGTAGAGTAAGTAAGGGAACGTATATGAAAAGTGTTTGTGTTTGTGTGTGAAAATAAAAAAGTATGTTCCTATTCAAACTTGCCAGAGAAAAGCCCAAAGTGGTGAAAGGGTCTAATGAGGCCAATGATGGTCCTGAGGCAAAGAAACCAAAGGTCGACCCCAATGAGACTACAATGGTGAAAAAGGTTGGTGTGTTGGTAGATTTGATGTCTGTAAACTATAGTTTTCAGTTTTCACTCACGTCCTTTCAAAGTTAAATCAATGCTTTAACTTTCCCCCTCAATCTATCTTTATGTAGACTGCCAGTTTCTGCTCTCTCAAAGAAGCCCTGGAGGTTGACTGGACAAATGAGAAAGCCAAAAGCAGCCTGAAGCGCATTCCTACAGACTATTTTCTTCTGCAAGGTACACCTTCAGATTATTTAAATATATTCAAAATTCAATCAACCTGATAAAAAGAATAGCGAAATAGGTGTTTCCTTCCTAAATTGTGGAATTTACTAATTGATCTACAGGTTATTGTCCGTAGTATATTCCAGACTCAAAAAATTTGTTTTATACTCAGTCGGTTATGTCTGTCTGTAGAATAGAACTGTAGGATAGAAACGATTTGGGAAAAAAACAATATATATACATATAAAAAACCCATATATAAGGTTTGGGGCCAGGAAATTGAAATTTTCAACAAAAAATTCACAAGCCAACATGACATCATGACTTTTGCGTAAAGATACACGCCACTTTCAAGTCAAGTGGCGTGTTATTTCTACGCATTTTGAGCTATCTGCATGTATCCGCGTGTATGTCTACGCCATTAACGTCCGAGTGATTCCGCGTGTCCGTACACGCCGTCAAATGTCCGCTCGAAACGAAGCAAAATGTAGATCTACATCTCGGGAGTGATCTTTTTTTTCTTCCTAGGATGGTAAGGGAACAGTCATAAATGCCATTAACTCCAGTGACGGTTAGTTTTAGGGACGGGTTGAGGTAAGTCATATATTTACATATACAATAATAACGTTAAGTCAACGGCGTTCATAAACACGATTCATAAAAGCGATTATGCGTCTTGATGGCACGCCAAAAATGGAAATGCGAATTGGTGTGTCATACACACGCTACTTCATGAGATCATTCTGCAAAAGCTAAATTTTCATCATCATTACTCCAGTCTTCAGTGTCACATAATCCTTCAGAAATCATGCATCATAGTATGATGATTTGCATCCTTGTATATTATATTATATTGCTTTGTTGAACACTTGTGATCATATCACATGAGATGGATACCAGGTGCAAACAGGGCCTTAAGTGGTTCAGTTTGTTTAGGCGACTGAACACATTGCAGTTTCTTCCTGCAGTCTGTTGTACACCGTTATCAGAGGGAGGGCCTGTTGATCTGTGTAATTATAGTCAACAATTTTCTTTTTATACTAGTGCTCACCTGGTGTCCTCACTGAGACTGGCTCATTTTCCATCACAGGCTGTCCATGGCCAGTCATGTGCAGTGGCTCTCAAAAACAAAACATGCCACCTCCGCACCTCTCTATCATTATAACAGACTCTGACTGCACCTCGCCCCTCCCTCTAGTGCATCTAGTATTACATTTATGGAAAAAATAACACTTCCTATTTGTGCACTGAAGCAAGACTTTAAATACATTTCTGTGCTCAAAAATACCACGCGTCATTTCAAAGAGCTTTTGAGGAAGAGCCGTTTCCTCTGTCTTAACTCACTGATTTATTTGAGGTTTTATCACCCCAGTGGTGCGACTATTACATCAATGATTTTTTTTCCAAACCCTCAGATGTTTTCACAATCTGGAGAAAATTCTATAAAGAAATTCAGCTATGAAACTTGAAATTGTATATATGTGCCAGATAGAGTGAGATAACATGAATGCGTGGGTGTGTGTTTCTTTGATGTGTGTGTGTGCTTCGCTGCCAGGTGGAAATGCAGTGGGCTGAGGTTCTTTGTGTTGTAGTTGGTGGGCAGTCAAAAAGGGGAAGTGATACTTTGGAAAATAGCCTAAAGGGGCTCAATGCCTTTTCACATGCTGCACAAATCTTCAAACATGTCTTTCCTCTACTCGCCTCCTCTTTTAATGTGGAAAACCCACTCTTTTCCCAATCAGTTTCTCTTACTTCCTCCAACAGTGCTTCTGAAGTTTCGTACAGATAAAGGTCGTGATCCTCAACCAGACAGCTTTGGTGAGGACTCTCACCTGCTCTTGCAAATCCGTGATGATGTTCTCGAGACTATGGGCCTGAGCTCTGAGCTGCTCCCCAACACCTTTGTCAGGTATTTACTGACCCACAAACTTGGTGTTCACTGTTCACATTAAGTTTCTCCAACATCTTTTTTTCCTACCAACCAAGGATGTGCTAATCTAGTTGGTGAACGACTAGTTGACCAAGATAATTACAGTATGTCTGGTTTCAGGTTCACCAGACCCTAACCAGGTTCCTAAGTAGACAGAGTGCAACCAACTGGAACTGAATGCAAGTGTTTTTAAAAGATGAATTATTTTTAACTATTCAGAGGCATGGCATTAAAAAGAAGAAGAAAAAGGGGAGGAAAAGTAGCGTAGATCTTCTCAGTTTAGCCCAAAGTGTAGGGTATACACTAGGGTATACATGCTGGAGTCACCATAGATACATATACATAGATACCTCATTAGCAGCTGTTTCTATGGGCCACTATACGTAAGCCATCTGCCACATCGGAAAGGTGTGAACACTCAAGAGCGGTTGAATGCAGAAATAAAAAAATAAAAAAAGTCCTGAAAAATAAAAAAGTTGACGGCAAAATAAATCTGCCATGGTCAGGTGGTACTCTACGAGGACATGAAGGTTTTTTACAAGTCAGAATCTTGTAATTAAATTAATTACGACATTATGCGTGTGACAATTTTGTTACATCGCAGTACGCGTGTATTGCAAATGCAACCGTACACTCAGGTTACACACTCAGGTTACACATTCGCTTTGATTTTAACACAAATTGGTTCTTCCAACAAGGTGACAACACTGGCCTGGCCTGTTGTTTCACTATCAAAAAAGAAACGGATTAGACAGAACAACAACAAAGTAACAAAAGTGCCCTTGTTGATGAGCGCCCGCGGAAACACACAACTTTAGTTTAAATGAGTAGAAGATGTTTTTTTATCAATTATAACATATTGAGAGAAATAGCACAGACAATGGATAAAGATGAAACTTTGATATCGAGCGCCTGTTCACGCACAATATCAAATAGAGTATATGCGTTCGGCTGTTCGGATATACTAAGCTTCGCATGAAAACTGAATTGTACTGTGTTTTCTCCTCACAGTTACTGTTTCTCTGAGATGGCCCCAGTGAGCGCCGTAGTTGGCGGTGTTCTTGGACAAGAGATTGTCAAGGTGAGATTTTGATCTATTTATGTCTATGCAAAATACGTACCATTACAGGTACTCCCACTACACAATCTGTGAGCCATTTACATCGGTATCCCCTCTTCCTCTCAAGACATTTCTTCCAGCTTGGTTGAGATTAGGGATTCTGCATGTTATCAAATGGGCACCCCCTACCTCGACGTTTCATCAAATTTAAACCCGACGATGTCTGCATGATGCAGGTGCTCCTCTGCCTCCCAGTGAACCACTTGCGACCACTTCTAAACTCAATGTCCGCCTGACATACTCTTGCGTAATCTCGCAGCATCATAGCCTGCCGTGCTTTTGTTACCTTATACTCCTCCACCACTGATATTACAGAGTCTTCTATTGGAAGATTGCTGTCTGTGCTATACAGGCCTATGGAGCGTAACACCCACCCGACCATCTCCTCAAATTGTTGTTCATCTTCCTATCCGCACCACAGTAGAGATGGGTACCTCATAAATGAGCAGTGGCCAGAGCAATCTAAGTAGGACCCCATGCTGGTATCCCTAGGCCTTTTACTTGCCTAAAGTCTTGATTGCAGACCTTTTATTGTTCCATTTATACATAAAATGAACACACTTTGCTTTTTCTTCCTCCATATCACCGTTCAATCAGGTTCTCCACAAAACCATCCGCTTTCACTAGCTGCGAAAGTGACTTTTCTGATGAGGCACAGTGAGAAGCATATGGCAGCTGCCCTCTCCATCAGAATCTGGGCTAAATCCAAAAGTTTTATCTGTTGACAGTGTGTAAATGCCAGAAATGACAAGGTAATATTCCGGTCACTGATGAAATCCAGCGGAGAGCTGCTGAAATCTTCTCATATGACTCCATAAACTTAACGAGATTAAATAAGACAAAGCGCAGTGATGTAATCAGTCAGTCTAGAGTGGATAATTACACCTGGATTTTGGACATAAAGAGGATCTCCTGTTGCGTAGGCCATGTAAAAACACAAACCCATTCCAGTTACAAACGACGGAATACAGTAAGTGATAAACATCAATATTTCTCTTGGAGGGTGATGTCATAGCCCAGGCCGGGATGCGGTGGGGTCTTTGAGAGGGTGGGGATAAGGGCTGTGTGGGGTGATGGAGTGAACGCGGTGCCTGGGCAGGCCTTGAACCCACATGGCGGTGGAGTGAAGCCAGGCTGTCTCGCCATCTCCCTGCATGATGAAACAGGCTGCAATTCGCATATGGCTCTCTGTTACTCGCTGCCCCTCGCCCATCAGTCTTCATCGCCACAACAGAGAATGTGTCCGACGCATCCGATCAAAGCACTTAATTACAGAATTGTAAGTCTGTGGCGTCTGTGTCTGAAAGAGATTTTGTTTGCATGTGTTTGACAGGCGCTGTCTCAGAGAGATGCTCCGCACAGGAACTTTTTCTTCTTCGACGGCCTGAAGGGCAGCGGAGTGGTCGACTACTTCGGATCCAAATAAGTGGCCCCCGGAGAACACGGAGAGATGTGTGGCGATGCGTATGTGCTCTCGAAAACACCATGGACTTCATCGTCTGCCAGTGGCCGCAGGCATCGAAATCTGTCTTTTGGACGGTACCTTTGCGTAGCAGTATGCCACACACCGACTGATGCCAAGAACAACAAGAACATTTTGTCCACACGCTCTTAAATGTTCACGCACACGTTTTTTTTTTTTTTTTCAGGAGGGTTATGTGATTTCTACGTTTTGTATTAAAAATAAATAAAAAGCCAATGGAAATAAACATGATTTGTATTGTTTTGTGCTTCTCCAGTCATCGATTTGATTTCAATAATGTCCTCTTATGTGTTGCCCAAGGTCTCTTTTCAATGCTAAATTACATAAAATGAAGCAAACCACTTTAAAGGGAATTTAAAATGAATACAGAAACGTCTAATGCTCCCTTGAGCCATTTATTCCCAACGCAAATTCCCATTCTGAAATGAGGCTGGGTGAGGCTTGTGTAGTGAAAGCACAGTATTTTTATTTATCTTGTCAGGTGTGGGTTTTTTTTTGGGTGACGTGATTAACGGGAAGTTCTTTTATTAGCTCAGCCCAAGGTATGTCATTTACTGGACTGGTACTGCAGGGTTTACAACCCTGAGGCAAGTAGGCACTCGTATGTTTTGATTTTTATGATTTCATAGAAGGAAATGGTCCTGCCTGTCCAGTTATGGACAAAGAAGAATGGAAAGAACGTAAATGAACTTTCCATGTGATTGATTGTCCATCCTTATGCTTAAGGAAACTACAGCCTCATGTAATGAAACAAACAGTACTAAATGTGCCACATTTGTTTTGGACGCACATGATGTTGCGACTGTGCTGCAGACATGCAAAATCAGGAATTCAGGCATTAAATGGAAAATAAACGTGAGCCTTTGATGACAACAGCATGGGTGAGTCATTCTGAATCAGATGAGACTGGTCAAACTGGTTGAGCAGGTGTTGAGTGGGAGTGGCAGTAAGTCACGTAACCTTTCTTTATTTATTTGGTTAAGGGAAAGCATTGACAGTGGAAACATGGGTTACCGGGTACCACTAATAGGCCAAACTTTTTGAAGATTCTTATCATTGCAGTTTTGAATCAGCATGGAAAAGATTTTCAACTGTGCTTTGCTAATAATAACAAAACAGCTGTTAAAGATCACCGAGAGCCAAAACTCCTACAACAGACAGGATGTCTGTCTACCAGCATGTTCACCCCACAGTGTGCATGTTTTCAATGTAAAGTCTGTAAAGTCACAATTTTGATTTAAATACAAGTAGGCAAAAAACAACCATTTTTTCAGTGCTATTTTTTCATTACAATTAAACAATGAAAAAAATGTATTAAAGTTACCATGAAATGAAAAAAAAACATTATTTTTTCAGAATACATGCTATTTATCCTATTGTGAATTATTTATCTGTGCAGATTTATGTTTACCTTTTTGATTAAATTTTTAACTCAATCTTGCAGTGAAGTGACAGACTTCTCTCTGGTGACATACTGGATTTCTCCAATCTTTTAGTCTTTCTTACAGTTGACCTCAAGCTCACGTTCAGATCTACCTCCATCCATTATAATCTATTTCACTCAAATGTACTTCACAATTCTGAAGAAAAGACCTGTTGCTAAAATGACTTTGTAAAGCAACCTGTGTAGTCAACATTTTCATAAAGTCCTAATGCAAGGCTCAAGTGGTTACCAGAAAGTGTCAGCAGCTGATTTTATAGATCAGGGTCAATTTGCCACTTAAAGGAGTAGTTCACTTTAAAAAGATATGTTTGCTTATAATTTACTCACCCCCATGTCATCCAAGATGTCCATGTCATTCTTTCTTCAGTCGAAAAGAAATTAAGGTATTTGATGAAAACATTCCAGGATTTTTTCTCCATTAAACTTAATGGACTTAACTGAGAACCAAACGGTTCAAGATCCAAAAGACAGTTTTTTTCAGTGCAAATTGCAAACTGTTCAAATGGCTTTAAACGATTCCAGACGATGAATAAGGGTCTTATCAAGCAAAACGATCGCTCATTAAACAAAGTTTAAGTTTTATAAGCTCAAATGCTCGCCTTGCTCTGTATTGTGATGCACGTTCGTAATTCTCCGAACGCGTTCATCAAAATGAACGAATCTTTTTCCGAGTCAACTCGTTCATTTCTTTCGTTGAATGAACCAAATGACATGAAAAAGATTTGTTCATTTTGATGAACGACTTCGAACAGGAGAGTCACACACACCACAAAACAGAGCAAGCTTGCGTCCATTTGAGCTTATAAAACTTAAACTTTGTTATTTTGTTTAAATGAGCGATCGTTTCACTTGATAAGACCCTTATTCATCGTCTGGAATCGTTTTAACACTTTGAACAGTGTGCAGATTTCACTGAAACGGTCTTTTGGACCTTGAACCGTTTGGTTCACATTGAAGTCCATTAAATGGAGAAAAATCCTGGAATGTTTTCATCAAAAGCTTAATTTCTTTTTGACTGAAGAAAGAATGATATGGATATCTTGGATGACATGGGGATGAGTAAATTATCAGCAAAAGATTTTTTTTAAGTGAACTGCTTGGTCCATCTTCAGCACAATTACACAAAGATAATGTGATGTGATGATAATGTGATGTCAAAGATAATGTGATGATGACTAACAAAATGTTTATTTTCACAAGGCAAATTACTGTTATGGACAATTACAATTTATATTCAAATGAATTTCATTGGTTGTTTTAAATGAATATAAACAGTATTTTCTTTTTCTGCCATTGAGTCTACAAGATAATGAAGTGTTCAGTAATGCAGTCCAATTCCTTAAGTACCGTACTTCACATCACTGCCAGTGCCAGTGAGAAATGAAACAGCAGCTGCAGCTGTAAAGAGACCCTGAATGATTAACATTCACTGCTCTTTCTCTAGCTGAGGAGAGAGCAGGATTAATACGGACTCTGAGTTAAACTCGTCGTTTTAATTATGCAACCTTGCTCTTATCATGAAGGAGCCCAAGGGGAGACGATCTAACTTCACAACAGATGTGTTGCTCCGCTCCCAGCTATAAAATGCATAACCATGTGACAGGATAAAGAACAGTCTCAAATGATCAACAACCCTTTTAGGAACACTGATGAAGCCTGAATGAGCCTGCATGGGAAATGTTCTGGGCATACGCAAATCAGGGGATCCCAATCTATCACATCTTGTTCAGATAAGACGGTTTCGCAACACACGAACCATGCAAGAGAAAAGGTTTGTTCTGTTCATTTAATGCGGGCAGATGATCCAATAATAAAACAATAAAAAGTGTAGCATTTTAGCCCTGGCCTAAAAAATATGCTTATTGTATACATGTATTCGTATATAATTTATATCGACGTGTGTATTTGTTTTGATTTGATGGTTGTTTGCAAAGCCATTTAAATTATCGTTATTGATCATATACCTCTAAATTCAAGGGAAATGAAACAGCTGAACTTATTTTTTTTAAATGTTTTTTTTTTGTTGTCTTTTGAATTAATATTGTCTTTAATAAAACTATACTGTAGGCTATATATATATATATATATATATATATATATATATATATATATATAGGCTATATATATATATATTATATATATATATATATATATATTTTTTTTTTTTTGCAAAAATAGGCCTATTCGAATATAATTGAATTGGCTTTACTGACAAGACTTTTGAACAGCCATTATGACTAGTTTTTGAAAATTGTTGTATTTAATGCGTCAAATCCTTTTGAGTCTGTAAAAAACGACATCAAAACACTTTCGTACACTTTTGCTTGAATTTATTGAAAATGGTAAATAAAAAACAATACAAAATCAATGTAAAAATTTACATCAAAAATTCCAAAAGACAAAAGTACAAAGCTAGAAAAATGAGTCTGACATGTTTAGTGTAAATCTGACAGTACAAATAAGGCCTTTCTGCATCAGAGAACACTTGTATTGATGAGAAGTCATAAAGGTGGCCACAGGAAGACCACACAACTGTTTCACAGGAAGTCATGAGACAGGCAGCCACAGGAAAGGAATCTCTGATCCACAATATGCCATGAAACTCTGTACCGACATTACAAAGCCAATGCAAACAGAAATGAGTGGTTAAAGGAGTTTTCCCACCAACTGGCCACAGTTGTTCAAAAGTGGTTTCTGAGGGAAGTGCTTGCAACCATAACAGGGTTATTACCTGTAGGCTATAATGGCCAGACAGAACCGGATCTGACACGTTGATTCATAAGCCATATTAGGGTAGTAATTGTTTATCTTGTGGACATCTAAAAAACCTATGATAAATTGATTTATTCACGTTCTTGATTGACGCATGATTGTATTGTATGCTTTAAATAAAATGTATGCTTGAAATAATATAGTTACAGTGTAATTCTGTCTTATTCTTGTTGCTTCAAGCATATGACATTTTATTTACAGCGTACAATTACAATCATGCGTGAACGCGTGCTCCCCGGTTCGTATGATCACAGAAGAACCTGAATAAATCGCAAGCTGCTCGTTCCCGGGTTCATGTAGGAACACGGGAGAACAACACGCTCATCCGTCGCTAATAATGTGCCATCCAACTTTATATCAGCGTGCCATGCATTTCTACGGACGTCCAAGAGAAACAATTACAGTCCGAATAGGGCTTAAGTCATCTGGTAAGACTGGTAATAACGTTTTTGTATATAAAAACGTAGATTGCAATATGGCATAATGCCGAAAAGTAAGATTGACTGCCCCTTGACAACTGTTAGTAGTGGGTAGTTTAACATAGACCTAATGTCTATGTTTCTGCAACTGGCCCCTGGATTCGGACATGAATAAAGTCACAAGCTAACCTATAAATGCTGAAAATAGCTTATGTCCCACTGAGAAACAATAACCGCCCGAAGACTGCTATAGAGAACAAACTCGTTCAAGTATGATTGAAGTTTGGCTCAGTTTAGTTCTTTTTGTAGACAAATAAGTTACAGCAGAAAATACAAATGGATTTTTCTCACAACCTTCAGAGATATTTGGTCCATAAAACACAACACTAATGAATATCTCCATGCTTATTTAATCCACTTGAAAAATGAATATAAATCATCAAAAGAAGGACATACAAAATAAATTAGCTTGTGCTTCTCAAATATTTAATTGAGAATTATCTGCGAAAAGTACATTTCATGGGGATTTTCACTTTTTTTTTTCTTTGCAGGACTCCAGATATTCAAATCTAAATAAAATGCAAGTAGAAATCCACTGGATTTTAGAACAACTGCTTCCAGTGTTGGTCCAAAAAAATGTTTCCAGAACAAAACAAATCTCAAACCGAAAAAAGGAACTTAATGTTAAGTACTTTAAGGTCATTTCATCAAAATATACAAAATACGTAAGAAACAAAACTCCCTGTTTATTCTATCCTATCCGGTCCTTTTTTTCCTCACAAAATATGTACATGTTTAATCCATTAATATTAACAAATATTAACACTGCTCTCCAGCCATTTTGATAATAGTGGTCTGGCTTTCCCACAAGGCTTCCAGCCTCACTCCTGTACCTCCATTGGAGGTGACCAATCTTTGAATTAAGTGGCAAATTTGTGTCCCCAAGTGTCGATTCAGGTAAGGGGGGCAACAGGGCCGGTTTACCCGCACACTATCAGCTGATTGTCCCTGATGGCTTTAGTAAAGGAAGGGTTCAAGAAGGATGTTAGCAAGGCACGGTCCAACTGTGCTCCATTAATAAAGTATGAGAGCATTCCATTATCTTAATAATCATCGCCCGTTTCCCATTAATGGTGTGCGGGTGCGCGCCCTGCGCTACTGGTGACTGATAGTGCAGCGCAGTTATTGCTCCTGTAAGGCGGCTGAGAGGAAAACCCATGACACATAAAGTACTTCTGGGCCCGAGGCGCTGTGCAGATCTAATCACTCTGTTTGCTTGAGAGCGACCCGGGCTTAATGTAACTTCACAGCATTGCAGTTAGTTGCAGAGGAGTATGCAAACGCACCGAGAGCCACGCACTCCCACTGACATCTCTACTGGGACACACGCTTCAGTCACTATGCTACATGAGAATCCATGAAAAAAGATGACAAAACAAACAAATAAAAAAACACAAATTAACAACCAAACGTGACATCTGATCCCGCAGAAAAGTCCCAGAGTCTTTAAGTGGTCGGCAGGAGAGCGCCTGCACTCTTCCTGTGACGTAACCCGTCTGTTTATCTGAACCCGTGCTGGTAGAAAGCATTGATGGTGTCGGCGACGAATGCGACGAACCCGTGGTACAGGCCCCTCCAGTTTTGCCAGCGTGGGTCAGCATTCTGAAACAAAGATGAGAGGAGAATGAGCTCATCATCTGTTACATGCAATACAAAATGTGTAAGGGAAAATAAGAATCACTAAAACTTGTTTTTGTACATTGCAAAGCACTCAGGGACTGTAAAAAGAAACAGACGACCTACTTAGATTTCAGATATTGCTCTAATCATCTGCCTACCTTTGTGAAAAAGAAGTGAACTTAGCATACTTTTAAGAAGTGGGAATAATGTACTTTAAAAATGGGAACTTTTGGACCAAATTCAGTGATTTTTGGTCCTAAGAGTTCCACAGAAGATATAAGTACATTTTAAAAAATTTAGATGACTTCTATTATTAATTTATATCAGGACGCGAAGAGACTTTCAACCAGTATAACAAAAACTGTTTATGAAAAACATTGACTACCCTCGCTTTACATTTAATTTTCTTTGAAATATGGTTAAAATGTACAGCCAAATGTACTGACATTAGTATATTAAACTAAAAACTACTTCAATGTCATTTCTATTGATACTTAGAACATTTAAAATGTGGTTTAGTATCTTATTCAACACATCAAAATAAGTTTACCTCTTTAAAGCATGATAAGAGATTATTAAAACATTATGATTTAAAATGTACTTTAAAATAAAACTTTTTAAGACATAAAAAGTCTCGAAAGTGTCTTTTAATACAATTAAATGATCTTTTATATCATTAATATTATACTATCTGCAAATACAGCTTGTTTAACAATATACTTTTAAAGTACAGTACACTACAAAGTGTACATTCAATACTATTAAGAACTTCTTGTAAATACTATTAAATACTTGTTTTTGTCACAATAGCATGAAGCAAAAGACTCTGGAAAAGTCGATTTGAGGTCTGTGTCTTAGTTCCTTCCCCGTTTGGAAACTGAATTTCGAAACTTTGTGTAATTATTAGCTTTTTCCACCTCAACTATCCTACAGCAGCCGTGAGGTAATTGCTTCGACTTTTGTGACGATGTGTTTGAGTGGGAGTGAGTGTAAAGGTTTATGTTAGCACAGATGTGTGTGAGCACAGACACAAGGTGGGGTGAGGCAGTGTCAGACAGACAATATCTACACAGAGGAGTCAGGAGAGGCAGCACATTACTCCTCAACAGCTGCTATGAGTCATCCGCTAAAAATAACTCTGCATGGGGGGGGGGGGGGGGGGGATCAAGTGAATGAGGGAAAACAAGAGAGTGAGAGTAGAAGAATGAGCTAAACGCAGAAAAAGGTGCAAGATGGGACACATTATTGTGGCGGTCAGGGTGACTACATCCTTCGACCAATGAATTTCCTATATAAAAATGCACATTTAAAGTTTTTGTTACTAAAGCATAAACCATTATGCTAACAAACATGTTTATTTAAAAGCTTAAATACTAACTAATTAAGTTAAAACAAAGTTTGACAATTTAACAATGCTTCAAATAATAACACAAGTAAACAGTACTAAAGAACAAAAATATATATTAAGGAGCTGTGTGGTTTTCCTGTCAATTTTGTTGCTTAAATTATTAACAGCATGTCTTACAAGGCTTCATTTACGTTGCACAGATCCAATATTTTGAAACATATCCAATCTTTTTGCCATCTGTTACCTAAGATAAATTAAAAGCTGAAAATGACTAATATTATGTAAGATTTTAAGAACTAATATACTACATGTAATTACTAAATATTATATTACAAAAGTTTTTTAAAGATTTTATTTATTTAATATGATTAATATACTATATAACATATTGTAAATAATATATTGTATTACAATATATATTTAATATAATTTAATAGTTAAATATATTTTGATAATATAACAAAAACATTTATTAACAAATTATATTTCCTATAGAAATTAAATTTTTAAAGACTTATTAATTAATTCCCATGATTAACATACTATATTAAATATATATGATAAAATACATATTTAATATAATTGAATAGTTTAATATATTTCCAAAATATAACATATTTTTAAAAGTTATATAAAATAATATATTAAATAATTTATATTAAATAAATAAAAACATTTATTAACAAATTATATTTACAAAAGATTTGATTCATTTCCATGATTTCATGAAAATTTAGGAATAAAAATGGGAATTTGGAGTCTAACTAGGGCCGTGACCATAGACTGGGACCATTGAGTGGAAAAAGTCTCCCCACCAACAATTAGAAATGGCCAAATTGTCCCTCACCCCATCCAAACTACTTGACATTTTTCTCAAATATGGACGTTTTGAATTGTAAATACGCATTTATGATTCATGTAATTCCTAACAGAGTGTGACGTGACAACACACGTTTTAGGTTTTCAACATATTAGGCAATAAAATAAAAGTTCATGAGTTCAAATTCAAAGTAATTCAAATATTATTTGCAAAAAAACAAACAAAAATTTACACCTAGAACTTCCTTCACTGTTCTATTTCTTTATGCTTTATAAACAAAAATGTAATCCCCCCCCCCCCCAATCTTCAAGACACGGTTACAGTTGAGTCTAAGAGAAAGAGTCTGGACAACTGTAGGGACCAAGGCAGACAGTTCAAGAGAGTGGGAGGAGGATCTATGGTCCGGCGGTCTCACATGTTACGGTGAAAGAGAACGGTTTTGTGAGCACGTATACAGCACAATTGTTGCACTGCTCCGTTTAGGGAAGTCCCTGTCATGTCATTCTTTTGCCAAACACAGTAAACAAAGCCTTCATCCAGTAAAAACATACTGGTATCAGAGTTCAGTGAGGCCACACGACAGGTCGCATGCTCACATGACCACAACGAGACATACTAGTTTTATTGCATCGCGTGTGTCAGTGCAGGTGTGTTAGCATGTACGGGAATCTGGGACGAGTTGACTCTTACTGAGAAAACAAAACGATTGACTCTTGCTAAAAATGAGGAAAGTGGGGCACACACTTAAACATAAGTAAATCAAAGAGCAAAGAGGCAAAGCAGTGACGTCATGGGTGTTTGTCTGAGGAAAGGAGGGGGGGAGGTGGATTAGCCTATGTTTACTCCTGCTCGCTTCACAGACTAGCTCCTCACGCGATACAACAGGGATCCAGAGCGGGGAGAGAGGGAGGGAAGGTTATTAAGTTCAACCACAACTGGAAACTCGACTCCAGTCACAACACTCACTACAGGATTGTGAATATCATATTGATCCATTTACAAGAAGACCCACTGGAGGCTACATTTGTGCACGCCCTGCCACACTCGCTCATATTAACAAACAGACACTGCCCTGCACAAGCCTGTTGACTTTATCACACTTAATGACGCTTTGGCATATTTAAACTGTTGCAACTAGACAAACGTGATCCTCACCCTCTGAAGAAAAACATCGTTCATCTGGTCTCCGATGATCCTCAGCTGTAGGGCCACCCTCTCGACCGCCTGCTCCTCCAGCCTGGGGTTGTCCTCCGCGGCAGAGCTGCTGGACGTCGAGTCTTCTGAGGAGCTCTGGTTGTCTGCTAGCACATCAGGCAGGGGAACTTCCTGTTCTGTACCTAAATAAAAACAATACGAGTACAAATATTATCGACTGCACACAATTCCCTGAAAAGATGAGTGTAGATAATCTTTCAAAAAGGATTTAACAATTTTTCCAAGTAAAAATATTTCTTTATTTATAAATGTTTAATTGATAAATATAATATTTTTGGGGGGAGGCACACAACATGAACTGACCTTGTCCTAATTAAAAAAACATGAAAAATCTGTTACTTTATGAGACTTATTGACATTATTTTTACAGTCATGAAAGTCTGTCCTCTCTGTATGATTATCGTGTAAGGATCTGCACCACATGACTATAATTTGGTAGACATAAAAACAAGTATATTTAATTAAAAATTATATTTGAAATTCTTTTCTTCACATCACCCTAACATTTTAACTTTTAAAAAGCATTAAAATTATTAATTAATTAATAGAAGTTTAATGAAAAAAAAAAAAATCAATAGACGTGCGCGGACCCTCCTGATGACAAAATTGTTGTTACCTGAACAGTGCGAGTAGCGGACGGCTGAAGTATACTTAAGACTTTATTTGAGTTCTTCAACTAAATGCAACCCCACTTCTGGTTGTTTAAGATTACTGTTTGTGTGCAATTGTATGCAACTGATCCACTGCTAATCATCATTTCACAAGTTCACAGTCACACTTAAATATAATTAGAGGGAGTAAAGTTCAATGCGTATTTGGCGTGCTGTCCGGGGTGCTCTCCACCCGTGTTAATTATCTGAACGTGCTCCTCCCAAACTTTGTCAATAAAACATCCCTTGTTGTCATACAATCTGATAGATACTGTCAAACTAGTCCCTAAGTTCATTTAGAGTTACTACTTTGAGTAAAAGTGTACCACTGCAAAAATGTTAACAGTGTTCTCATAACAAACTGAGATAAATGGGACTGTTCTACTATTTAACAGGCAGACATGCAAAGGAGTGGACAATCTAACCAAATACAGATTCAACAGAGCTTAGAATAGCAATTCTCTATTCGTTTAAGTAACTTTTGTTATGTTTGTTTTGTTAGGTCATGTTATGTCCTATTTGACTTTCACATTCTGTTACAGTAGCATCAATACTAATCTGATTAAATATATGACAACTCATCATCTTTTATTGATTGAATGGAAACTTCAAATCCGTATTCATAAGGTGGAAAGCAATAATATGTATCACCTTTGAAAAACAAGTACTGCTATTTCAACATGGCATAACATCCCGCCCTTTAATAGCTTGTTAAAAATCACCATGAAATTAAAATGGGCAATTCATATTTTTCTATGAAATTGCAATGATTTATCTGTACACTATTTTTTTAAGTAAATGTGCACTAATTATTATTTTTTTAATTAAAAAGACTCTCCTATGAACAGAATCAAGTACCGCAATATTTTTTCTTTTTCTTCATTCAAGTCACCATTTCACTGGGATACATGTCACAAGGACAAGTCTAAAGTCTATACTAAATGTTATTACATTTAACAGTGTTATTAAAGGACTGGTGTTGTTAAAGATAAATTTGAAGTAAACATGATAAATCTGTTTCTTGCTTAGCGCACTGAGAAAATGCCTCCGCGGAGAGGATTAGTGCTGCAGCCATGAGAATCCGCTGATCCTCGGCGCAGGTGACTTGAGAAAGCGGGAGTTCTGGCTTGTTGCCAGGGTAACTGCAAGCCGGCGCAGCCTGAGCTGAAATCCAGTCATTGGTGGACAGGAATGAGGGGTGGGCTGGGATAGGGTGGACAGTTGGAGGACAGGGAGGGACCAGGGACAGGCTATCAGCCAGTGAGGAAAGCCTTTAAGGAGGAGTGTCAGCAGAAGTGTCAGATAAGGTTAAATGATTGCTAAAGTTAGTTTAAAAATATGAGGAATAGAGAGCGGAAGGAGTGAGAGAAACCACAACATTGAGACGATGCGTGATTCTCAGTGACAGGCTGCCATTGTGGACTGAGCAGCACTTGACAGGAAGCCAACAGCAAAGAACATGTCTAAACATGCCTGAGCTCTCTCACTGGGGAGGGGAGGGCACGCATGTCCTGCTGCATTTTAATGCTTGGAGCCAAAGCCATTGATTTTGTCTTCTGAATCTCATTTAAATATATTATGCTAATGATTTCCACCATGCACTGACGCACATCACATAAACAACATTTCACAAGCATGATCTCTATGTTGTAACGCCTTGCCTGAAATATCCCTGAGTAGACAGTCCTGCTGCTGGACACTGTCTGAGCTGAAGGCATCTTGTGTTGGGATGTGGGGTAGTGGTGGGGAGACAGTGGTGGTCTGTGTGACAATGGGTCGGTGCCGGTGGCAGGGCTGAATGATGCTGCCGTTGGGCCATATCACCTCCATCCTGCAGCTGTTCGGTGCTCCGGGGTTGCAATCAGCCACCTTGCTTTCCATCTCTGGTCGGGCCATACCCGTTACGGCCTTGACACGAGACGAGAGGAAAAATGTTAAAGAAAACATCTGACCAGTTTGAACGTCACCTGGTTTGTTTAAAAATGCAGCTGGACAAAAATGACATCATATAATTGCATGTAAATCTTAAGGGGAACACATTCAAAATTATTCAACTCTATAGACCAAATAAAGATGAAAATAATTTTGACTTATGGAATTAATAATAATAACAATTAAAAGTAAGAAAATCAAAACATTTTTTTTTCTTATTTGACCTAGCAACCTATATTTTGAGCGTCCACAAGATGGCAGAAACTGCAGCCTCGTGCTCACGAATGTGTTTGTAAACAAATCCGTGCACGCGATGTCACACACAGCATCTCGCGCGCTTTAACACAATCTTGCGCTAACACTCAGTGCATTTAAAAAGCTTAATTCCACTGGAATACATATTACATTTTCCTAATTACGACATTGACTATGATTTTATCATTTTTTCTCAATTGGCAAAAAGGGCTTATGTTGTGAACGTGGAAATTATGAAGCGTCGGAAAAGTGGCACCAACAAACGCTCAGCCGGTGACTTGTTGAGTGATGCAAGGTTAAAGATTTGAAGAGGTGGACGTTTTTGGAAACTGGCAGTTCTTTGATATAGCAGCATAGTTTCAATGCTTGTTCTATTACACAAATAGCCGGTTATGCAGTACTGGAACATTAGCAAAATCCCTTCTTCCAACATAAGCAGATATGCTACTTCTGTTTTGCAACATGGCAAGTTAGCTGGTTTTTTAGCTGGTCTAAGACGGTCCAAGCTGTTTATTTGTTGGTTGACCAGATACTAGTATACTAGATACTACTAACAGCTTGACTGACCACCTGGTATTGGTCTAGCAGCTTGCACCTGAACAAACGAGCAGCCCAGACCAGCTAGAAACCAACTGTAATTTCCAAAACACCATTTCCATAATAAACTGAACATTTTAAACAGGGGAGGACAACATCGAACCCCATTTTTACACAAACTGTAAAAAAATGGTAACGTTGTTAGCAAATATCTGATCTAAAATGAAAAAAAAAAAAAAATTCTAGGCTAATGATTTTTATTCGTGTAACCTAATGCAGTTTGGTTGATTCTGTCATTTAAATAATGTTTGTGCATCATTAATGAGCAGTAATGTGCCACATTTACTGGCTGTCAAATAGGTCATTTTCACCGACCACTGTAAAAAACAAAGAGATGCATGTTCAAAAGACATTTAGGCTTACCTTCAAAAATGTGTTGCAAGTAAGTAAATGTTTTTCCAGGGTTGTTATCCTCTGACACCAGATATGTGTCGTGCGTGCTTCAAAAAGACTTCGTGAAATATCCGTTCATGTTATTCCACAAACTGCAGGAAAGAATAGTGTGTCAATTCATGGGATTCGTCATTAGCCGTGTGCTCGTGAGGTTGTAAACTGAAGGGTTATGATGACAGCGAGTTGCTTTCACTCCCGCGAAGTGCTGGCTTTTGGACACACCCTCTAAGAGTCTAATAACAAGTCCTGACATGCTCATCATCAGGGGCGTGGCGAGAGACAATGTAAACACACACACACACACACACGCACGCACGAGCAGTCGAGACTCGAGACAGCACAGGAACCACCAGCCCTTGCACGCCCATTGTTGTTTGTTTATTGCCAATGGGAGTAGCGTTGCTGTAGTATGTACTGAGCGTGCTGTCCTCAGTGTGAGATCTTGTCAATGATTGTCATCGTTCTGTTGACGTACGTTTTGAATAGAATATTGCATACAGCAAAATACAATAAAGTGACATAATAGTAAAATATATAACATAGAACAGCGCACTAAATGTGCCTTTAGAAAAGCAACAAGTTTAAGTTCGATGTGCAAATACAGTGCACACTGAAAAATATTTAATATGCATAATTGTCATTTTTCATATGCATTTTTAACCCACTGAAACTTGATCCACGCTTTTAAATCTATGATTAGCCAACGTTTGACATTTGACGCTATGATAGCCTTTCTATATAGCTTACATATCCATCTTGGAAACATTGTAACATGCTATCTGTTTCTGATACAGAAAAGTTAGTTCATGCAGTCATGACCTTTAGAGATTATTACTGTAATGCTTTATTAGCTGGTTGTCTTGCATCCTCAATAAACAAGCTACAGTTAGTGCAAAATGCAGCTGCTGGAGTTACTAGGTCAAGAAAATATGATCAAACAACACCATTTTTATCATCTCTACACTGATTAAGTTCTGTATCAATTACAAAGTATTATACTGTATACCTATAAAGCCCTAAATGGTTATTAGCTCCTGTTTATTTAATGGACCTTATATCGCCCAACAATCCTTTTTTTTTTTTTTTTTTTTTTTTTTTTGGTTAAAACCTGTTAGTTCGAAATTTCACGTGCAGTAGCCAACATATGTTGTTTGTTTTTGTTTATTTTGCAACACTGAGGAAAATTAAGTAAAACCACTGATATATATAGCATGACTAATGTCATTATAAAGATCAGTGAGTAAAACCTGAAACATGAAAAAATATAAAGGAACATTTTTCAAATATTATTTTTTTATTTGTCATTTCAGTAATATCAGATTTCATACTCAGATTTTACGTTCAAATGTCCAGTAGGGATATATGCAGTGAGTATGCACAAAAATATTACAGTTTGCTACTAAGCATAATTTTTTTCTCGATAACATTGTTTAAAGAATTATATATATATATATATATATATATATATATATATATATATATATATATATATATAGAGAGAGAGAGAGAGAGAGAGAGAGAGAGAGAGAGAGAGATAGAGAGAGTTGTTATCATTAAAAAATTATTATCATTAAAATTATATGTTTATTGTTTCCTCCTTTGCGATATTTCCTCCTTAGCATATTAGCCATCTTACGTCATGCATAAGATGGCTAATATGCTAATTGAATAAGTGTATCGTTCAACATTCACTAATAATACATAAACTTCGAAATAATCACATAGGCTATAGTAAATTCGTTAGTCACTCTTTGTTCTTTGCTAATGATCGATGAACACAGCGCTGATAACGTATTGTAAATTGAATACGGAATCCCCCCCGGCCGTTTCTTTCATCCCCTTTGACCTCTCCAGCAGCTTCCGACTGCATGTATTGTTTAAATGCTGATGTCCTGCGCATGATGGGGAGCTTAACTTCATGGATATAGATGGAGAGCTCCTGTCCCACACACAGCAGATGCAAGGACTGTGTGGAGGGGAATCCCCATTCAGGTACATGTCTGGGCATACAGCCCCACGCAGACTGCTCTAGGATGGCAAAATCTTTATCAGTCGCCTCATGTTAAATGCATAGCCTAGTTAGTGGTGTAGACAAGAGTGTAGATAGTCTTTATTGTGATAGAAATAAAATAAAATGAATAGGCCTATTGATAAATAAGTAGTCTTGTAAAAAAAAAAAAAGAAAGGCCTATACAAAATTTGTATAAAAACAGACTACTGCAATATTTCAAAAATATTCTTTTAAATGTATTTATATTCATTTTATTTTATTATTGGTACAGTGGTATATGCAGGGTACATTGTTTTACTTGTGGTTTTTACCCTGAGGTTTGGCCACTGAGTACATACAGTCCTCTATGACATAAATATGAACAATTGATACAAAGCTCAATGGCCAAACAGTAACATGCTCATTTCCATCTCAGCACAATGACACAAAAGACTCTTTTTACTGTAAATAAATAACTTTTCCCTCCTGTGTCCACATGACAGCTGAGAACAATAAGTTCATTACCAAAGTTCACTACCTGATAGAGAAGAGATCATGTGTTTCTGTGACACTGCAACGGCTACATACGTTACCAAAACACAACGTCCACGTGGGTGTGAGTGTGAAAACACGAGACACAAGAGCGAGGCTCAAATTTACTTTGTTCTGGTGACATCATCCTTTACTTTACCCCCTCCTTCCTTCATACTTCACCGTATCTGATAAACCTGTCTCGAGCACTGCTCGTCCATCTCCCATTCCATATTTTTACATATTAGTTTTCATTGTTGTCACCTTAATTGCCTGATAAACAGTCCCTATTGGTGGTGCAGGGTCGGAGCTGCCACCCTTCAAGGTAATGGGAGGGTGGTGAGTGACAGACCCGGGATCCGCAGGTCTAGAAGGCTAGCAAACAACCAGTCTGTGCTTGCATTTAACTGCCATGTGAAAAGTGGTTATCGACTGTAGTCATATTGTTATTCTGTGCGCCAAGCTCCATGATTGTGGCAGAAATTGGTCAATCTGCATGTCACAATATCAAAGGGAAAAGGAGAATGGAAAATATGCAAGCTTCCTGATTCTCGTTCAGCCATGATTGAAAATTACTCTTAATTGATTACATGATATGAATGTCATAAGGATCCAAATCACCTACACTAAAAGCAGCAAATCATTACATATCAAGCAAAGATGATCACATAAGTTTATTGTTTGTTTTTTTCATAAATATTCTCAATAAAGAAACAGAAGTGAGAGCACATTTTTGAAAACCAGTTTCAGTCACATTTGTGAGTGTTTACTTAGGATTGTAAAAAAAAAAAAAAAAAAAAGGAACTAACAGAGAACAACATGTTTTGTGTACCACTATGGGCATGTTTCTTGCAACCACATTAAACTGTTGACATTAGTGCTGTAGGATTCCTCTGATTATAGGCTCTACTTCAGATTAATTAGAGAAACCTACAAGATCGCGATTCATTGTTTGTTAGAATTACTCATATTGCCCATTAGACCATGCCATATTTAATTGAACATATGCTAATTATTACACTGCAAAAAATATAGTATAATGCATCTATCTATAGGCCTATATAATATATATATATATATGTGTGTGTGTGTGTGTGTGTGTGTGTGTGTATTATATACATAAATAGCCTTGTACAAATACAAATTGATTAATTGCATTTAACATAAAACTGTTTGTTTACATAATACATGCATGTATATATTATTATAGTTATATATGTGTGCATGTCTGTGTATAGACTTATATATGTGTATAAATATGTGTATGCAATAGTAATATTAATATATATACACATAAATATATTATGCAAACAAAAACGTTTGTTAGATGCGATTAATCGATTTGACAGCACTACTATATATATATATATATATATATATATATATATATATATACATTTGTTTAAATATATGAAGAGTTCAGATGCAAAAGCCTCTAAATGCCATTTGGAAATGATGATTTTTATCAAACTTATGTATTTAAGTTCAGTAATTTCACTTAAATAACAATTAATAGGTAATTATCATTGCTATTTAAGTGAAATTACTGAACTTAAATATACAAGTTTGATAAAAATCATCATTAAAGAAGAAAATTTCAAATGGCATTTAGAGGCTTTTGCATCTGAACTCTTCATATAAAGCATGTGTGTATCAGCACTACATACATAATGACACATTCAATTACTAATTTTAGACACAACTTAGAGAATTAGTTAGTGGATAAAAGGTCAATTTTATCAGCATTTAATATGTGATGTACAAATTTGTATGTATATATGTGCTTAAAATGGCAATATCAGCTCTTTAAACCACTCACAGGTGTCATGTTCATCCTTTTCTCCTAATGAAAGGTAGTGTAAGACAAAAAGCTCATTGTCCTAGTGCCGGTCAATTGGGAAAGGCTATAGTGATGTCAGAGCTGCTGAAGGCATTACCTCATCTCCATCATCAAGGATCATTTCACACATGGTTGCAAGCTGAGGCAGAAGGAGAGCAGTATTAATGGGTTTGGGGGTGGATTGGAGAGGGCTGTTAAGGCCAGCTGTTGCAAACATGACCCCGTGTGACATCCACAGTCCCAAAACAATGGCTTGATAAGGTTGGTTATTTTTAACACAAAGTGAAGGAATGTTTTACTCAAATCATGTTTATGCACTGCAGAGTTTCCCATTTCAGGGTTCCTTTCAGCTGACTAAGCAGGAGTCGGTGCTGCGCTTTTGTTGGCTTATCAATTTCATGGTCAGTTGTTTTGTGGAAAGTCAGAGTTTTTATCCACTATTGGTGTAGAATTAGTTTCAAGTTGACCCTAAAAAGTGTTTAAAGCCATTAAGTTTTATTAACAGTATTAAAGGTTACGTAGTGCACACATTTCTTCTTCTAATTTATAGTGTAACAACAGACAATATGATGACTCACTGTCCCTAGTGACGGCGTGCTGAAAGCCGTGCACCTTCTCTTCACCTCCCATGGGCTCTCTTGTTGATAATTGTTGGAGTGTCACAACAATTAGGTCATTGCCGAGTTTGTGTTTGCAAAACCCAGAACCTGACACCACTTGTTTCACTGGTAAGTCCAGACATCAAATAATAGGTCAGCACTCGATTGTTTATCTGAGGAACGGGTAGAGGATCCCCATTTTCATCATCGAGCAAGCTTGTGTTTAAAGAGACTGACATCACCTGTCGGAACATCGATAGCAGGATCAAGTTGCTCACCCTTATCAAATGATACTCCTTGTCTTGGTCTGTAGACAGTGTTTACTTGGTTACGCTGAATGTTGTTGTTGTTGTTGTCTGTTCGGTCAGTAATGGTTTATGCACATAAAGTTAGGTGATTTTGCAAGGGATAGTTACAGTCTTTATTGATCAAGTGAAAGTAAATCCCTGAAATGATTCCAAATATTTTGAGAAGACCTAATATTTTCAGCTGTTTAAGGTAATTCAATTAATTTTTCAATTTTTCAATAACTGATGAAAAAATAGCCAGCATGTTGTTGGAGATAAAGGCCTTGAAAAGACTTTTAGGTTGGCAGATGGTGTAAACCAGAATGCCTGAAATGCAATAAATTGTTTTCCAAGTTTGTGGATAATAAGCCCACAGCTGCTACCATCTGCACTTTCGATGTACACTATCATTCTAAAGTTTGGGGTCGATAGTAGCCTATTTTTGAAAAGTTTTTAAAAACAGCCTCTTTTGCTCACCACGGCTGCAGGCAAACCGTAATATTGTGGAATGTGATTACAATTTTAATATATTTTAAAATGTAATTTATTCCTGTGATGGCAAAGCTGCACTTTCAGCATCACTACGCCAGTCTTCAGTGTCTCATGATCTTATCATTCTAATATGCTGATTTGCTCTTCAAGAAACAATATTTATTGTTTTAGGATATTGTTAAGGATTATTAGATGAATAGAAAGTTAGATGAACTTTATATCTTACTGAGCCCATACTTTTGATCATTGGTGTAGATCTAAGATGTACAGTTTATTGACAACAAGCGGAATAATACAGACATTAAAAGCAAAACGTCAAACAGTGGTCAGACTCTGAAAAACTACGTACAAAAAATGTCCCTTTAAATATCTTGCTGTAGTCAATATAGTGACAAATTTGGCATAATCCCTAAGATGTTTTAAACAAATCTTCTTGATTCTCGGAATGCCATTCATTGAATTAGACAACAACTCTCTAATTTGCTTAAAGATTATGTGACACTGTTTTATTGGTGGGCTTTGCTGCAGCGTCTATAAGCAGCTCGGACATACATCAGTCAGGGCAGTATCCCGCTGAGATGAGAGAGTGACAGAAGCTCGCTTGTTTTGCTGCTGTGATGTTCCTCTGCCCGGAAACAGTGTTGCCTCGACAGCTGCGAATGGAGAAGCGATTGGTCGCGAGGCGGCAGTTCAAGCATCGCGCGCGCTGTTCTGGGACTCTCGGTTAGGAGTGCGTGCGTCAGCGAGCATCAACATCAAGCGCTGCTTTGCTGCTCAACTGCATGTTTGCCTCGCAACGCATTCGACTAATAAAATGAACACCCAGCAAAGTAACATTGTTATACTACATGGGTTTTCCAGGAACAATCTTTGGGATGACATTCTCTCGCTCTCTAAAACATGCTTGTTTTATATATATATATATATATATATATATATATATATACACACACACACACATATATATATATATATATATATATATATATATATACACATATATATATATATACATATATACACACATATATATATATATATGAAGAGTTCAGATGCAAAAGCCTCTAAGTGCCATTTGAAATTTTCTTCTAAAATGATCATTTTTATCAAGCTTGTATATTTAAGTTCAGTAATTTCACTTAAATGGCAATGAAGATTACCTATTAATTGTCATTTAAGTGAAATTACTGAACTTAAATATACAAGCTTGATAAAAATGGTCATTTTAGAAGAAAATTTCAAATGGCATTTAGAGGCTTTTGCATCTGAACTCTTCATATATACACTTATTTGTATTCTATAGTGTAGATACAGATTTCTTTCACTATGCCAATAAAGATATTTGAATTTCGAGATATATACATTTATTTACAACCTTAATCCCAACATTAGACTCCTAATATTTGCAGTGGCCTGATTAGCATTTCTCTGTCGCCCTCTGCCGATCACACATAGTATTGTCTCAAATTCAATACAAAATACACACGTTTTCTATTTTTATTTCTAACTATATTAAGCTTCTATTTAAGCATGGAACGTAAATGATCAGAATAAAGAACCATGAGGTCAGTGCACACTAAATATCAGACAAAACAAAAACGGTTATGAAGATGGAGATGTTAAAAAGTAATATGAAGCATTGCCAATTACTCTTCTCCCACTTCTTCATCAGGGCAGCAATAGTATTCCACAAAACAAATCTGACCATCATCGTTCCTCACAAGATACTGTAGAGAGAGAAAGCCTCGGCTGTCTGTTCTCACTGAGACTTTACAGGACAGAGCCAAGGCCTTTGTAGATGGTTTCAACAGGGAGATCTTATACCTTTGAGAACAAACATAAGAGAAAATAAATCTTAGTGACCCAGAAAAACTTTGTTTTTCTTTTACCACTGACATGCATAAGCAGCTTGTTTTATGAAGTTCTGAATTTAGCACAGATACACACAGCTCAGATTGATGGGGAATACAATCTAAAACAGAAACTGTCCTCCTACCTGTTGGTCTGTAATTTAGTGCACTGAAACAGCTCCATCATGTCTGAGTCTTTAGGATAATCATAATGGGCATTCCCAGAATTACCGAATGTGGATAATCTAGGGTGAAAAGGAAAATAATAATGAATATGTATTGACATTTAAGTTTGACTTAACAACACAATTTATTTTTCACTCAGCATTAGACCAAATTAATAGATTGCATAATTGGAGCTGGCATTATTTATTAGAATTAATAACCTGACATTAGTAATTCCTCGATTCACTTATATACACTCTTGTTCAAACGTTAGGGGTCAGTACTATTTTTTTCTTCAAGAAAATATTACTTGTAATTCATTCAATTTATCAAAAGAGACAGTAAAGACATTGACAATTTGACAAAATATTTATATTCAAAAATAAATGTTTTCTATTTATCAAAGAATCCTGAAAGTAAATTCTAGAAATCAAGGTTTCTACAAAATATGATACTGTATTTTTAACATTGATAATAAGTAATGTTTCTTGACCAACAAATCAGCATATTAGAATCATTTCTGAAGGACCATGTAACACTGAAACCTGGAGTAATGATGCTGAAAATACAGCTTTGCCATCACAGGAACATTTTAAAATACAATCAAATAGCAAACAGTTATTTGAAATTGTAATGATATTTCACAATATATTGTTTTAACCATACTGTAGATTAGAGACTTAAATTAATGTAAAAAAACGTTGACTTTTGAAAAGTAGTGTAGGCAAACTGATCTGTTGTGTGCACGATTACTGTACCTGAAGTAAGGATGGCTTGGTGACATAGTAATCTGCAGAACTTCACTGGTCATGTCAAGCTCAGAGAAAGCCTCTTTAAGACTGTCGGACTGCAGAATCACCTTGTTGGTCACATTTGTGCTGCAAAAGTCAAAGTCTATGGGCTCTTCAGGCTCCTGTGTATTAATCTTGCACACGGTGACCACACCACCTTCCTCCAGGAATAAAGTCAGCGGATATCCATAGCCATTGTAGCACATTTTCAGGGCAGTGCACACACCTCAATGGTACAATAAAAGAGAAATCAGTTAAATATATTTTACAAAAGAAAGCTCGAATAACCATTGAGATACACACCTGGTGTTGTGCTCGCCCCAAAGATGGTTAGGCAATCCAGAAGAACAGTTAAGTTAACCTGAAACCCAACTGCATCCTCTTTGATAGTGTATTCTTGAAAGATGTCAGCCTGAGGAAACAGACACACAAATACACGGTTAAACCCAACTGCTAACAACTGAACCTGTCAGAAACGGTCCTCCATCACCAACCTGAATGAAAGCATTAGCTTGAAGGCATTTGGAGTCCTCTACAGTGACTTTTAACCCATTCTGTGTTGCATTGAAGATAGCATGGTCTTTGAAAGAGATGGCTTTCAGGATGTTGGACAGATTCCTTGCGTTATCCAAACTGGCAATCAGAATGTACTGGTCAATGTCCGCTTGGGACTGAGTTGACAGGGGCATGTTTCTGTGTTGTCAGCATCTGTAATGACATTTAAAACATCTAACGTTAACTAACTAATTTATAATAGCTGTTTACAAATTATGATGATACGAAAACAGTAGAGACATTACACTAAACTGTATACCTACATATGATCAAGCTGTCAATCTCTGGGGAAAAACTAACTGTAAACATCAATAGTATATGTTATATACATATATATATTTAACCTACCAAGTATAGATATGAAATATAAAGAGTTACATCTCTTTTTTTTAGAGTTTGGCGCCCTTAAGTAGCCGCTGCACAGTCTTCTTCTGGTGTTTTGATTAGTTGTTCATTCGATAACTCGCACGCACCGCAGTGGTCTGATGCGGAACTGCAGGAAGAGTTGAAATACAGACGTTTTCAATATTAGAAGGGGGGGTCATCGTGTTAAAAGTTGTGCACACGATAACACACTTGTACTGTAATCTCTCATAATTACAACAAAAACAATATTTAAACATGTTTATGATATAGACCAATGCTGTATTTTATTTTCAGAAATGCAAGGTGTCAAACATAAATATTAAAAATGCTTCTGTGCACCCCTCTCACTCATCATGAGTTGGACCAGCCGTCGCCTGGCAGCCGAGACTATGGCCGAGACAGCCAGACAGAATGCGAGGAGTCAGAAGTGCCACATAATCAGTTAAAGGTCAGGTATGTTTGAGAAATTCCCTGTTTTATTTAACTTTATGGAAGTGTGTAATTCAATTTAATAATTTGAGCGACCAACTATAAAAACAACAACAATACGTCCAAGCTAGTTAGTTCCCATCTGGTCTGTGTTTGTTTATCTTTCTCAAGCAACCAGACCATACCAACACAACAAAGCGAAACTTGTGTGAGCAGTAGCATTTATTCCTCGTCTATCTATTTAAACTAAGTTTGTTTTATGTTACGGTAATGTAACGGCAGTGGCAGTTACGTGTAGTTCAAATTAACCAGCTAACGTTAACTAACTTAGCTAAGCGGTTAGCTAGCTTAATGTGATCTGCTGGTGACAGTGCAGGGGAATCAATATTGTATTTGTTTTTCGCCATTACTGGGTTCACATTTGGAACGGATTAAAATGGCTCTCGTGCTATTTCTTTTAAAATACTAATGTTTATGTATTTCTGTATGATTTCCAGCTATTATCGTGCCACACAGGCAGGTTTTAGATCATCTGGACATGGCTAAAGACCCGTTGGCAGAGGCTGGTCTACATTTTGATGAACTCAACAAATTGCGAGTACTCGAGCCTGACGTGAGCCAGAAAACCACTGAGCTCAAAGAGGAATGTGAGGACTTTGTTGACAGTGAGTTTGTTCCTTTTTTAAAATCATTTTATTTATCTTATTGAGTTTAATTTATCTCTTGTGTTAACTAATCAGCATTTCGTTGGTTCTTTAAACAGTACAGATCAATAATTTATGATTGGCATTTGTTTTTGAAAACAGAGATTGGACAGTTTCAGAAAATTGTAGGTGGACTTATTGAACTTGTGGATGAACTGGCAAAGGAGGCTGAAACTGAAAAGATGAAGGTACATTCTTATAACATTCAAATAACCTGCAGTGCAGATTTGTTATGTTCATTTATATAACTTCAGTGATTGTTCTACAGGCCATTGGTGCAAGAAATTTGCTGAAATCGGTTGAAAAACAACGAGAGGCCCAACAGCAACAGCTTCAGGCTTTGATTGCAGAAAAGAAAATGCAGTTGGAAAGGTAATCGGTTTTATTAGTAGGACAATAGTCCAGTCTTATTAGTAGGCTGATCAATTATATGTTTGTGCTCGGTATTTTTCCACTATATGTGAGACTATAATTGTTTGTTTTGCAGGTACCGAATAGAATATGAAGCTCTTCAGAAAGTCGAAGCGGAGCAGAATGAATTCATTGATCAGTTTATACTGCAGAAATAAGAGTGCTGTGTTTTCTCCCTCTCTGTTGGACAGAAAATAAGTGATGCTATGCATCTTGACTCACAATGACTTCCTATAAAGTACTGGGTCCCAAAATAGGTTAAGCAGTTTATAGGTGACAACAGACATCAACCTGTCTGTTTCAGCCTCAACCTCTGACTCTAATGTGTTAACATTGACTGCTTTTGCATGGCCAGGGGTCATACTTGTAAACTTTCCAACTATAGTTCATAATCTCAGATGCTATTTATATTCAATATAATTTATTTATACTATTTATACGAAAATTAGTTTGTAAATCATTATTTTTGTTCAACTGCAAAATACAGTATTTGCATGTTACTGTAAATAATCCCATCATGCAAGTAATTCCATTCACAAGTAATAATCTTCAGGTAAATTGTTTATTGTCTATATGATTTTTATTTTAACTGCTGTTTGTAACTTGAACCCATCCAGTTTTATTTTATCATATCCTTATGGCAATTTTATTGTCTGCTCATGGGACCACAACAAAATATTTTCCATAGAAAATATGGAAAGCTGTAATATGAAATTTGTTTACATTAACCGTTATTAGGTGTGTAATCTCAATATTTGATTAACTTCATACAGATTTGAAGAACATTTGAATAAAAATATATTTTGGTTTTACATGTGTTGCCATCAGTAAACAAAACTGTAAATTACTATGGGGTCAAAAATTGCTCAAATACATTTTTGCTTAAAGATTGCTTACAATTATCAAATATGCTGGTACATAATCACATATTTTATCACATTTAACCAGTAATAACCAACAATTACATCGGAACCCTGGTGGGTTATAATGAATGCATCCATCTCGGCTCACCTAAAGGATTATTGGGAACACCTGTTCAATTTCTCATTGATGCAATTATCTAATCAACCAATCACAAGGCAGTTGCTGCAATGCATTTAGGTCAAGACAATCTCCTGAACTCCAAACTGAATGTCAGAATGGGAAAGAAGGGTGATTTAAGCAATTTTGACCGTGGCTGGTTGAGTATTTCACAATCTGATCAGTTTCTGTGATTTTCACGCACAATCATTTCTAGGGTTTACAAAGAATGGTGAGAAAAGGGAAAAACATCCAGTATGCAGCAGTCCTGTGGGTGGAAATGCCTTGATGCTAGAGGTAAAAAGGAAAAAGAGGCTACAAATTGCCAGAGCTCACCAAAATTGGACCGTTCAAGACTAGAAAAATGTTGCCTGATCTGACGAGTCTCAATTTCAGTTGAGACATTCAGATGGTAAAGTTACCACTGTGCAGGCTGGTGGTGGTGGTGTAATGGTGTGGGGGATGTTTTCTTGGCACACTTTAGGCCCCTTAGTGCCAATTGGGCATCGTTTAAATGCCACAGCCTACCTGATCATTGTTTCTGACCATGTCCATCCCTTTATGGCCACCATGTACCCATCCTCTGATGGCTACTTTCAACAGAATAATGCACCATGTCACAAAGCTCGAATCAATTTAGATTGGTTTCCTGAACATGACAATGAGTTCACTGTACTAAAATGGCCCCCACAGTCACCAGATCTCAACCCAATAGAGCATCTTTGGGATGTGGTGGAATGGGAGCTTCGTGCCCTGGATGTGCATCCCACAAATCTCCATCAACTGCAAGATGCTATCCTTTTAATATGGGCCAACATTTCTAAAGAATCCTTACAGCACCTTGTTGAATCAATGCCACGTAGAATTAAGGCAGTTCTGAAGGCAAAAGGGGGTCAAACAGTATTAGTATGGTGTTCCTAATAATCCTTTAGGTGAGTGTATAATGTGTAGATGGGCATTATTTTTGTTTCTTGGACTTTGAGGAAGTGTTTCCTTTCGAAGAGGTTGAATTATATGTTGAGCTGAAGAGCATGGTGAGCAGTATCATGACGGGGATGATAAGGTATGGAGCATAAATTGACACCAGTGTCAGGCGTTCGTTCAAAGTTTGGGGTCCTGGATGTGGCGTCAGAGGAAAGTTATGGAAAAGCACGTGGCTTAAAATTGGGACTAGAGTAGTGGCCACATGAACGGAGTAAATGATTGCTGGAGTTCTGATCCATTTGCAGCCACCTATTAAATGGAAAACACCACATCAATTAACAGGAGTAATGCGACCATAGTGACTGGTATGCATTGATAAGTGATTCACCACTAGATGTCATTGTTGTGTCATTTAAGATTGTGATGATCGAGGTACTGACCCTTCAGGAAGGCATATGCTGCAATTGGGAAAAAGGGCAGCTGCACGAGAGCTTCACAGAATACAAAAGATTTGAACCAGGCAGGCGGGTCCATCATCATCGGATCCTTGAATTCAGCAGCATACCAGTGCAATACGTTTTGAAGCTGTAACACAAATAATACTATTTATTTCGCGAGTAATAATTACATAAAACACCGCTAAACTTGGGATATTAACGTTATATGGTTCCGTTAGTGACAAATACAACAATGTGTGCAGGACAAAGTGCAAACTTACCTCAGGTGGATACAGATGTTTGGGAAGTAAAGCCTGAAGATCAACCATGAGAGTAATTGGAATGTGCGACGCAAAGTAAATGAAATATATAATTTCTAAAGCGCGAAGTAACATTTTAATTGTCTAACGTTAGTGCTTTAACAGTTTTTTGACAAGCTCCTTCTCCGTCAGTGGTTCAGTAGCCCTGGACGCCGTCAGTGGTCAATTAAAAAGTAGCGTGTTATTCCTCTGTTTCTTATTGGTCCTTTAACTCGGTCACTTCTAATCTTTGTTTTTCCATTGGTCCGTCGGCTCGGTTGATTCCTGAAGTGGGCGGAGCGTAGCCGAGGGAACACAATCACTACGAAAGTGACCATAGTAACTAGTTTTATGATAAAATAGATTTATTTTAATAATAATATTGTTACTGATATGAAATAATGTCATAACTAAGCATTAGCCACAATTTTAATAATAAATGAAATTTCCATGGAATTTGGGAAGGAAACACTCACCACCATTAAACATTTCAAGACTGTTACAAATTTACACTTATTTTATTAAATTATTTTGTGTTGAGAAAGCATGTTCATGATGACAACACACAGTTTAGTTGTTGTTTTCAAAATTCTCCATGGAAATATAGCAAGAATACTGTGATTTGGTCATCATTAGCGTTGTGTAATGTCACATTCTGGTATCTATTATAGATCAGAGAGCATACATACACAGAATTAAATCCTTAAATACAAACATTGTAAAAAAAAAAAAAAAAGTATGCCTGCTGCACATGTGTACAACACCGATTTGATGTGTACAACACCGATTTATGGGGTTTTTTTTATTCACTTTTGTTCTGCATTCATGATCCTTTGGTTGTCAACGTCCACATAATCCTGCAAGATATCAGTAATTTGTTATCACTTATCTCTAGTATAAAGGTAAAGAGTTAAGAGTGGCTCAAGGACAAATATGACTCACCCCATCACTCTCCACAATATTCTCCAGGATCCTGACAATGTCTGTAAATGAAGGTCTCGATGTGTATGGATCCAACCAGCAGTCTAGCATGATCTGTTCCCTACATATTAAAATAGATATTTACTGGAAAACCTATTACTACAGAAGCTTGTTTCCGCAACAAAATTGAAAAATAGGTGATTGCAACGTTTTATCGCAATTGCGAGTTTATAATTCCGAGAAATAAATTTGCAATTGCAAAATTAAAGCCAGAATTACAAGATATAAAATGTTTCCTCGCAATTGCAACTTTTTGTAAATATTTCGCAATTGTGTATGCAATTGCAAGAAAAAAATTGTGAGATAAAAAGTTGAATTACTTTTTTATTTTTTATTCTGTGCTGAAAAAAATAAAATAAATATATATATATATATATATATATATATATAAATAAATAAAAAAAATATATATATTTTTTTACATGGTCACTCACATTTCTGGTCGGCAGGAACTGGGGACAGTGTTTTTATATCCAGCACAGACACTATACACCACTTGCTCAGATGTGTTCAGATTTGGATATGGCAAGGTGCCTATAATAAAAAAATACAATATTTGTGATTTATTCATCAAAATATTTGATAAATCAACCAAATATCTCAGATATTTCTCACCAAATGACTGCATTTCCCACAGCACGATCCCAAATGCCCAGACATCTCCCTTAAAGCTGTAGTAGTTGTTCCGGAAGTACTCTGGAGGGTACCAGCGCAGGGGCACGCGCTCCTATGAGGTCACATTAATATTAGGCAGATGGTCAATGAAGATGTAGGAAGAACAGGTGCGATTAAATCACCTTGTGTTGTTTTTTCCTGCTGCTGCGTCGGCTCCTCATGCGGGTCAAGTCCCTGGCCAGGCCAAACTCTGCTACCTTCACCTCCCATGGGAATCGGCTCACCAAAATATTCCTTAAGGCAAGGTCACAGTGCACCACCTGAATGGTACACAGAAAACGTCAAAAATCATTCTTTTCCATTTTTCTATTCATGTATAGACCTTATGCAGACCCTATATATATATATATATACCCTATATATATATTTGTCATCGTAATAACTTACTGACCTACTGTCACATATGGATGCTTGGTTTGTATTTCCACATCACAAAGGTAAGATCTAACGGATTTAAGAATGAACTGCTCGTTTTAAAATCATTATCATCAGACATTAAACTGCTCATTTGATCTTTTGTTAACTTTACAATAAGTAAATACACTTCACCAGCTTATTACTCTACTTTGACAGCAATATGCCATAGAAATACACAGAGCTACCTCAAAAACAAGAGTTTAAACACAAAATTAAAAAGATGGCTTGTAGGGGTGTAACAATACCCTCATGTCATGATTCGATACATATCACGAAACTGAACACATGATACGATATTACTGCGATACTCCAAGACATATGGTAAAAGGTTAAAAAATGTACTGTTGATTAAAATGCTAAATTTGGTATTACATTGTGGGTGGAAATGAATAGGCTTGGACTTAACACAAGACTTGGACACCAGATTAAATATATTCATTATTTTAGATGAATATGCTTGCACTTGTCACTGACTAGATATATTTAACATAATGTAGGTCACTTTTAATTGGTAACATAAGATTTTTGGCATTATCAGGACCCACAAATATTCCTCCGCTGCATTATTATACATTATATTTAGTAGATTAATGTGGTACTGAAACTGAAGCTTAAAAAAAAGATTCAATGTTTGCCTTGTTTCTTTCTTGCATAAGGTCTATATCAGAAGAGCTGTATTATGTTTGTGAAAGCTTGTGATACCATTTTGGAGCGCAAGTGCTCCATGGCCAGGGCGATGTGGTAAGACGCTATGGTGAACTGGCTCTGCAGCTCAGGGTCGGCACTCAGTTCGTCTTTGTGTTTCTGCACAAAACTGCGCAAGGTCCCGTAGCTTATGAACTCCATGATCAGCATATACGGCTCTGTGACAACAGACAGTTTTGGTCACATGATACATTACTTTAGTACAAGCTTGATAAGTTCAATTAATAACAGAAGTGGAGAGGGGATGTTTGTTATATTCCAAGTGGATTCATTAACGGATATTGCTATAACAAATTAATATCTCAATATTGTACTGTATATTTAGTGCTATTTGATAGGATTATTGTTGAACAGGATTTGAACAAACATATTATAATTATCGAAAAATGCTGTTACTTTCTAATCGAGGAAGCTTACAATTTTTGCCCGGTGGACGATCAAACAGAAGAAAAAAAACATTATAGGAGGGGCTTGAAAAATACATATTTTGAGACGAGACTATCATATGGACCACCCAGAACGACCACAAAGCAACAAAAAAAATCACTTTAGCAACACTTGTCAACCATTAACACCTTATGTCGGCAAGTGTTGCTCAGGCGAGAACTATTTGATATTGTACTTTATACAGTACTGAAGTATTTGCAGCATTACTTACCATCCACTGTATTCCAGTCTAACAGCTGCATCACATTTTTATGATATGCCAGCTTTCTCATTATAGACACCTCGTTTTCCATCTGCTTAGGGGTGATAACTGCAAATGACAGCAAATCTAAACATCTGCTGGATAATTGTTAAGATATTCACACAATAACTTCAACAGAAATGTGTTTGCCTATATTTTTACCTTCTTTTCCAATTTTGCAAGTGACCAGTGAGTGTCCTCTACAAGTGCCCCTTATCATCCTTCCTTTGTAGAAGACTCCTTCTCTACCCGCCTTTATGAGCTGAATAAGGTTCAGGTCTGCTTTTGTGAACCGGGGAACCTGAAGATCAATTTTTCATGTTACATTGTTTGAACACTATACAAGTCAGTCAAATCACATTTCAAAATAAAAATGTAGTGAACCTGTAGTGGAGGTTTCCAGGGAAATCTGCAGCTGGGTTTAGTTCCTTGTCTCTGTAATGGGTTCTCTGTAGTACGTTCTGGTATTTCGGGAAGATTCAGGACATCGGGAGATGGAGGAGGAGAATCTTGGGAAGGAACTCGGGGGGCCGACCGTCCCTGCCTCAAATCCCGTATGATCTTCTTCATTGACCGATACCTATTGAGAAAATAAACAGAGCGTTTGCAAAGCCCGAAACATATAAATGAAAATTATACATTTTCTTTCATAAATATATAACTGCAATATTTATTTAAAAAATTGTACAGGTGAAACTTGAAAAATTTGAATATTGTGCAAAAGTTCATTTATTTCAGTTATTCAACTTAAAGGTGAAACTAATATATTATATAGTCTCATTAAATGTAAAGTGAGATATTTTAATAATTCTGATGATTATGGCTTATGAAACCCCAAATTCCAAACTAGAATACTGTGAAAAAGTTTTCATAGCTTTTCAAGTTTCACCTGTATATTGAAAGTGGAAAATTGTTGAAAGGTATTTATATATCTATATATCTATATATCTATATATATATATATATATATATATATATATGTATATATATGTTAAATATGTTAATGACAAATCGATTATTCGCATCTAATATTAAAGTTTGTATACATTAATAGATACATTTATATACATATATATATATATATATATATATATATATATATACATACATATATATATGTATATGCATATGCATATGCATATATATATATATATATATATATATATGTATGTGTGTGTATATATACACACATACATACATATATATATGTATGTGTGTATACTATATATACACACACATACACACACAGAGACATTATATATTTACAGAGTTTAATATTAGATGCGATTAATCAATTTCACAGTAGAATTTAATAATATAATATTAAAATAAATATTAACAATTATTATTAGATAAAGTTAATCTGTCCATAAGGGTCCATTGATTAAAAAAAACTGTTAAAATATACTTGTTTAGGCAAAGGCATCCAAGTGCTATCATGAAGAAAACGGTAACTGCATACAAGCAGATGAGAACGATGTGTCCAACATCAAGGTCTGTAAAAAGAGAAAAACCAAATCAAAGAGAAATAATCCACAGTGTTCATATAGACACATGCAACAAACAGCTATACTTTTAGTAGAATTCATTTTGGTTTTATTTAAAAATAAAAAATTTAAAAGCATGTCACCAATATTTTTCACCTCTTTATCTAAAATTATATAGTAGGTGTAGGTGGCAACATTTCAAGTGGATCAAAACCTTTCATCAAAATTATACATGTATTTTGAACAATACTATGATTGTAAAGCACTCTGGGTGTACAGTAGCACATATGAAAGCGCTATATAAATGCTTCATTCTTTCTTTCTCTTTCTTACCCATTCTTGCCTTTGGACAATTTTGATTTGATCCACTTCAAATGTTGACTACTGTGTATACACGCACATATATACTTACTCCAGTTTTCTGCCTTCGTATCGGATGAATTGTCAGATGCCATAATGAAGTCAAAAGCATCATATGCTTTTTAAAATCATCTGATCGATATTTCAGAGCTAAAAGAGAAAAAAAGACACAAGACAAAAATTATCATTTCATGTTTCAAATTTCATTTAAACTAATGTTTGATCATATTATACGCCATATACCTTAAATGTTAACCAGGCGACGTCTCCTTGTATGTTCAAATGCAAGACCTGAAAAGCAAATGTTTAAAAGATGTTTTGTCTCCTTGAAGAAAAGACAAGAGAATGCAGGACCCCATGAACTCATTATGCAATGCACACCATTGTCTAACTTTCTTCTGCATGATATGACCATGCATGAAGACCACTGAGTTGAAGGTGGTGTTCAGAACAATAAGCCACATTTCTTCAGCATTTGTGGTTTAGAGCAGAGTTAGAAAAAATAGAACAGTGTGCAGATCGACTCACTTCCTGATTACAGCTCCTCTCCAAATATATGTGCAACCCACAAAGTGCTCAAACGTCTGGAGGTGATTCTCATGAACTTAATTTGTATATTTCATTCAAGGGAAATACTCTAGAGGAAAATATTGAGAGTGGAAGGGTCCTAAAAAAGGTTAGTTTAAATGTCAAATGTGGCTTGAATTCAAGGAAGTAGGTCTGATTGATGGCACTGGACGCCATAGAGCGAGGTGTGTGGTTTCCTCTTAGCTGTTGAAGGAAACACCTCGCATCATTCGCATGTTTAATAAACACAGAAGAGAAAAGCTTGCATTTGGCTGCATTTAATTTGTTTCTTGAATAATTGTTACAGATCGACATCACTCCATATACAACTACAAGTACATTTGTACAGTTCATTTTCATTGGCGTATTTACAAAACATGTATGTACATTTGTCAGTGCAATGTCAATTTTATTCTTTAAACAACACTTTACAAAATAAAGTTCATTAAATTAATACATCTCTAGCAGTTCATCAAAATTAATTTAACAAAATTAGGACTAACGACGTAGACAAAGACACACATCAGTAGTTGATTGCACTACTTGAAAAGAGATCATTTTGCCATTTTAATAAATTATCCCTGTATAAAAAAAGCATGTTTGTGGTTACTGTAATTGTAATACATCAAACAGCCAATATTAATTTAAGAGTGATATCATTTGATTTTGGATGTTGGATATCTATTTTTCGTCCAACATTAAAATACCTAAAAACCGTCTACAGTCCATTTATCATATTCGCATTACGGATTATGATGATGAATCTTTTCCTTACAGTAACACACCTGTGTTTTATTTCACATAAATTTCTTTTTCCGACAGGGATAAACCTTTCTTTGATGGCTAACGTTTAGAATATCCATGGAAATCTGAAAAGTACAGCAGCAAAATGGGTGCGGGCGAATGAATCCCGTTGATTTCCAAGGGTTTAACGTCCCCTCACAGGAGGAGCTCATTCAATTGATGAATGCTGAAAAATAAGAGCCATTCAGTATTTCATACATCATTTCACAGTGGTAATTAAGTTGGGCTCTCTTTTCAAGAGTCTAAAGAAATGCTACTAATAACCTGGAATACCCTCCGACACAGACATCCACAACATTCAGCAGTTTAGTGAGGATGCTGTTCTCTAAAAGCGTGGGTCGTGAAATATTCTTCTGTGCTAATACTGTTCATTTGCTCTTGTCTAACAGTATTCAACGCTTCCCACAGATTACGCACATGACCAGCAGAACACATTTTGGCTTGGACGCACGAGAAAACAATCGGATATGCATCTGTTTGCTATTTTTAGTCTCCGGTCACGTGTCAGCAGTTTTTTGTAAAGCAAAAAATACAGTGGTAACAGGAAAACGTGTAAAAAGCAGCGGTATTGTTGAGAGGACGTGGTTTGATCAGACTGCTAAGACTAAAGCTGTAAGCAAACGTGTTTAGGCAAAGTGAACTACCGCATAAAAAAAAAAAAAAAATTCACATTGATAAAAATAAATTTATAAAAAAATAAAAAAAGAAGATATACATTTACTCTTCTAAAAAATAATGTCTCAAAATAATCCGCTTAAATAAGATTTAAAACTAAAAAAAAATAAAAAAAAATAGCATATGTATAATTTGGCAGCAGGGAGTGGGAGGATATTCTATTAAATGTCAGAAATTGTCTTTAAACTGAACTTTTTTTGGAAGTGAATTATGTCCATAAAATAATTTCAACTGCCCTCAGATGATATAATACTGTCACACGGATTTTCTATGAACAGTTGGCCAAAAGATGTGAGGTAGTGTGTGGAATTTACTGTAGAAAAAAAGAAAATAAATCAACTATGACTAAACTAAGCCAACCAAACATTTTTAGGGCTCTATAATTTATACCAACACCATCTTCCCCATCGGTTTCCTAATTAAACAATCTGTTCTGTCCATTAGGATTCAGAAATGTAGCACTACAGAAGCACAAGCTCTTGTTATGTGATTTTTGGATTCACCTATGTCGGTTGGCATGTGAAAGAGCAGTTTTGTCTGTTTGGTAATGGTGATATCAAGGGATTGGCGAACAGTAATTTGTTTGCTTGGCAACAATCACGATCGCTACAGTTCTCTGTGATTCACTCATTCGCCCTCTCCCTCGTGTATCTGAATTGTCAGGTACCTCTATTCTGAAAGCACAGTCAGCGGCGGTGTTGGGCCTGTCGGCTAACTGATATTTTGAGCTTTCACAAATGATGGTCCTCTGGCTCTGCCGTTTCAGTCCTCATTGCACTGGCGTACTGACAGGCCCCCCTAGTGTCTTTAATGTTGAAGAGCATGGCATCACTGCAGCACACAGTACTTCTTGTAGTCAGATTCAAAGTCTTCGTCCATGCTAGTGGTGTCTGCCATCTTTTTGCCCTCTGTTTTTGGCAGAAACTGCGAGTAGTCCACTCCCTGTTGCTCATAGAACAGGATGTAAGCTGAATCTGTGTCAATCTCGTCCGAGTGAACTTCCTGAAAAGATGTCAAGAAACGCTTTGTTTTAAGTGTTGCACAATTCTTGTTTTAGTGTTGTCACGAAACGAGACATTATGAAACTTTCAGTAGTTGACACCAATGCAAGGAAAATTTCAGGAATGTAAATTTCCATGTTGATACCACAGTAATTATTTTGAACACTATACTTTCATTTCAATATTTTTAAAAAAAAAAACCTTACAATATCATTTCAATTTATTTGAGATAATTAATGTCAATGTGATGATACCAAATTCAGTTGGTAATTGCTATGACAGATACTTCAGGCTGTAGCGCCCAATTTGTTTAATTTAGTATCAAAAGTAGCGGTACTTTTGACATCTACTACGTCCAAGAATTTTCCATCCCATTTCCATCCAAATATATACTCTGTGCAGTAACAGTGTCAAATAATAGAAACCCATGAGATGTCAAAGAATAAACAGAGTTGGGATCTTACCTTGCAGCTGCTGTCATTGTAACAGTACCATTTTTCATTGGGGTTTTTAGCATAAGTCACATAGTGACCCCCTCCCATTATTCCTGAATGACACTTAAAAGAAAAACAACAATTAAGGTGTCAGAAAGGCTTTTTACAAAAGGAATCATTACAGATTGAAACATGTAGAGAAGAATCACTTACTGAGATTGCATATAAATTGTACAGGGGCTCCAGGCAGATGTCATTTCTTTGGTGAGGGGTGTCTAGGTCTGTGCTAACCTCTGTGTGTCCATTACTCTGACTGTTGTCTTGTGCCAGTCCATTCACCATGATGACATCGCAGTCGCTGCTTGAGGCGTCCAATGACCAGGTGTCTTGCCCATTTGAATCAGATGGCATCTGATTCTCCCCGTCCGTCACTACTGTGCCCTGCTCTGAGTCGGTCTCGCTCTCCTTGCTATTGCTACAGGCATCCAGGTTTTCTTTGCTGTTGCAGAGTCGATGCCTACTGCCCAGCTGTGGAAGACGCAGACGCCCCTGTTTCCGTCCTGTATTTCTGGGGCTGCTGCCAGGGCTGCTGTTTCTGCTCAATGGGCTGCACACCCTCCTGATAGAGCATGGGGTGCCTAAAACAACAATGCAGTGGTTAGAGAATCTCAACTAGTGTTCATTTAAAAGGTCTGCAAATAGAGAAGAGAGACATACCTCTGCCAGAGGTGGGAGGACTGGCCACGGTAGTAGTGGAGATGGAGGACACGGAGGAATCACCTCTTTCCAGTCTCTGGAGCTCCTCTACCAGGCTTTCACTTTGGAGGCTCTGCAAGCTGCCCATGCTCTGAGCTACCTCCCGTGGGGTTAGGAACGCACTGGGGTCAAAGCTCTCGCGTGGAAACTTCACAATCTTCTGAGATTTAATCCACCGACCATTGACAAACTGGAAGCGTTTCAAATGAACAATCTGAAAAAGGACAGAGAAAAAAAATGATGTTGTAATCAAATATTACAAAGGGCAACTTGCTTAAAATTACATTTATGTTATACAGTATGTTTAATGTAACCTATTCAGCTCAAAATTTCTATACTATATAATAGTAAACATAAATATTTGTAAGATTTTATTAAATAAAATGAGAATTTTTTTTATATTTGATCAGATCAAATTAGCTAAAAAGGACACAATTTAATCAGCCACATGATCCTTCAGAAATCATTCTAATATGCTGATTTGATACTCAGTTTTCATTGTTGGAAACAGTTGTGCAGCATCATACATTTTTTGGAACCTGAAATACATTTTCGGGATTCATTGAAAAAGTTAAAAAGAACAGCATTTAAATCAAAATATAAATCTTTTCTAACAATTTAAATCTTTTACTATCACTATCTGTTTTTAGCAATTTGACATCCTTGCAGAATAAAAGTATTAAAAAGAGGAAAGAATTTCTTTATTTTACTGACCTCAAACTTTTGAACGGTAGTATATCCATTTTATCTATTCCTATATCTATTTTTAATTTAAATAAATAAGTTTTTTTTTTTTATCCATTAAAAGAATCCTCAAAGAAGGTTCTCTCGTAGTGCGTAATATCTTACGCTAGGGGAAAACCTCTTTTCCATTAGATGTTGACGGCAAAAATTATCCTTAATTTTGAATTAATGTAAAACACGCTGCGGCAGCCAACACGGCCTATTGGCTGTCCTGCGGCAACTGCAGCAGCCTATCGAGAGAGGCCCTTGGTGACGTCAGATCCAATGGGGGATTCATTACTGTTTTTTCTGTATTTTTGTTTAAATAAATACAGGTTTGATGAGCAGAAGAGACTTCTTTCAAAAACATAATTTAATTTTTTTGTTTTTGTTTCCAAACTTTTGACGAGTAATATACACGCATAACTATATATTTTTAATTTGATTTAATTTGTTCAGAGAAGGAGGAAACAAATAATTTGGTTTTCTAACCAGTACGGGGGGCAGCCTCCAGAGGTCCAGCTTCTTGGTGGCCAGGCGGTGGGTCTTACACTTGGAGCAGTAATAGAGCTCATCCTCCCCTAACTCTTCTTCACTGGTGAAGGCTTTCAAGCAGCTGTCCAGACTGATAGGCTCTGCCTGAGCACGCCGACTCTGCTCAACACTGGGATGCTCTTCCACTATCTGCTCCACATAAACATCAGCAACTAATTACTTGACAGGCACAGTAACAAAATTAAATACCTACCCAAAAACTCTAAGATCAGTTCTGGTCTGTAATGCACCATAAAAGTGGTGCAAAACCATGGGATTTTATTTTGTCATCTCCAATTTTAAAAAAGTTATTTAGTATGACTCTGCAGTAGAGTATGCAATCAGTCTTTTGCAAGTAGGAAATGATGGATAATAATTAGCTGATTATATCAGGAGCTCTTGCTAGAGGTAATATAGAGGCAACAGACCCAGAAAACAATTAATCATAGAATATAATTTTAATGGATTTCTTAGCTGTGATGTGAGATGAAAGCAAATCACAAGGAATGGCAGCACTAGCAGAGTAATTATTATGTGTACATCATGTCCTGCAGTGCAGCATCAGACTGGATCCAGTTTAGAAAGACTGTCACAAAGCAAAAACCCACTGACTGAAGTACTGAATATGCTGCTTAACATCTGTGAGCATCTGTAAAGCACGTACTCTTTCCTGAGAGGTCTGGTAGCGAAGGTGCAGGGCAGTGGGGTCCCAGTCTACAGCGATGTAGGCATTCCCCAAAGATGCTCTGTCTTCATTACAGTCCACCGTGCAGCCTCTGCAGAACCTGGCAAAGTCACGACAACCCTTTTCAGTCACGACAGCCCACAGTGTGAGATATGTGCATGCATAAGCGCTGAACTCAAATGACTTACCTGTACCAGGGACACCAGGCACAGGAATTACCATCTTTCTGCACCACCCGCAGAGTGAAGGGATATTGGTAGCCCATACTGTCATCACTGGAAGAGAACATGACATGCCACATAACAGAGTAAAGGAACTAAACTTTTAAAAAGAAGTTAAGGAATAAGGAATATTTAACATTCTGCACTATTTTCTAGGTCACTAATGGCCATGTGAACTGAAATAAGGAACTAAAGGAATAAGGAACTTCTCATTATGATGCGATCATTTGCATGAAATCTAAAAATGAAAAACAGAACAAATTTCACTAGGTCTTGTATAAAGTATCAAAATCTAACAGTACATTTGTTACGAAATAGGAAACAGAAATGACTAAAGTAAAAAAGCTAACCACTCGAACAACAATTTTTACTACATTTTATAATGTATAGCATCATTCAAAAGTTTTGGTAAAGTACAATTTTACTTAAAAGAAATGAATATATGTATTCAGCTAGAACACATTCAATTGATTATGTAAAGACATTGGTTACAAAATATTTCTATTGAACTTTCCATTTCTTTCTAAAAGAGTTATTTTAAACTTTCTATTCGTCAAAGAATCTAAAGAAAAAAAAATCACTATTTCCACAAAAATACAAAGCAGCATAACTGCTTGCAACATCGATAATAATAAGAAATGTTTCTTGAGCAGCAAATCAGCATATTGATTGAATGATTTCTGAAGAATCATAAAAATTGAGCTTTGCATTACAGGAATAAAGTGGATTTTAAAATATATAATAAAATGTAATATAATTTAACAATATTACGTTTTGTACAATAATGTAAAAGTAATTATTTTTGATCAAATGCAGCCTTGCTGAGCATTAAAGACTTCTTTCAAAAACATTAAAAGAAATCTCAATGAACCCAAACCTTTGACTGGTGTACTTCGAAAAAAAAAAAAACAAAGATCCAAACTAATGATCAACATCAAAACCCTGTGAGATACAGATGCTACTGACCAGTCTTGAGCGTGGTTGCTGGCTTCCTGTGGGGGAAGAGGGCTGGCAAGTCGGGACACCTGGATCCACACGGCATCATACAGGTCCTTTTTACTTGTGTGCACAGTGCACGGCACAATAAGCGGCATGCCAAACAGACTGGGCCTGTTCTTCTGAGAGGACAGGAAGTACAGCTCCGTCCTCATCTGAAGAGAAAGAACAGACACTTAGGATGGTTATGACAATCATGTTAAAAGGATAATTCCAGTGCAAAATGAACCTAGGGGTTAATAACGTGTTTTCCAAAGACGGCTCCTGCCTGTATACGCGAAGTGTACAGTCTTTATAAAGTATGTTATTATTAAACTGTCTGTACACTTGCAAAGTTTTTAATGCTTCGGTTTTGTTAGCGTGGGGCTATTTTGAGCCTTGTTAGTGGTATTAACTAGCAATTTTTTATTTATTTTTATTTTTTTTTTCAGTCCAACAGTGAATATGAAGTGAATGCTCACCATCTTTCTGTGCATGGCAATGATGTAGCCAATGAAGGGGCTGTCTTGCACCGGCACAGCATGGCCATTAGGGATACCATTGGCGAGGGGCTTTTCGGGGGTACAGGGGACCACTGTGCTGGGCATGCCATTGGGAATTAGGCCAGACTTTCCAATGTGATTGTTTCCTGCTGTCCCATTGGCTGTAGGTGTTTTTTCTAAAAAAATAAAAATAAAATCTAAACAACTTTTTTAATAATAACAATAATAATATGGGTCAATGGCAAATAAGGGTGTCCATGATCCAACTTTTCTTTTAAGGACCAAGTCAAGATAAAGAAGAAATAAATCCTCATTACCTGTTTGCACTGGAGAGGTGACTGAGGTGGGTGAGCCAGGCACAGGGATTTCAAATGCACAGAGGAAGCAGTTCACAGAGTGTCGCACCTTCTGGTTGTCCTGAGGAAAGTTCTAGATCAAAAAGAAGCATTTATTTAAAAGCCAGTCCACTTGGATTGTCTCAACAACAGTGTCTGATGTGGCGAGTTGAGCTGACCTTGATGTTGGATGTATGAACCTCAGCCAGTAGGATCTGCTCAGGTTTCAGGCTGCACAGCTCACTCAGCTGTTTCTTCAGGCCCATGTACTTCTCATCCATGTTGAGACGGAGCCCGTAACGCACCGGAGTAGAGCCATCAAGTTTGATAACTACAAATCCAAAAAGCTTTTATGTGAGACTGCAGCACCTGCTGATGAATTTTTAAGTGTTTGTTTTCTCTCTGCTTTGGTTTACCTGTGATTTCTAAGTGCATGGAGCTGTCCATGGGCAGCGGCAGTGATAGGAAGTTAAAGGGGTCGAAGCGGGCGCTGATGTGGCCGCAGGTCTTGCACTTGACCTGGGACCTGAGCTGCCCATGGAAGAGGTCCACCACAATTGAACGATTTCTCCGCAAATGGTTTTCCCAGGCCTGTGAAGAGAAACACACAGATGTCCTCAGGGTGAAGAACCGACTTTTCATCGGTTTGCCTCTATAGGTTCATTTAAGAGTGCTGAGCTAATGTATTGAGCCGGGCAGGGGCTGAAAAAGAGGAGTTTTAACACTAACCTCTGTGGCTACTTCATGATCTGGGCGTCCATCACTATCCTTGAGCTCCACGTACGGCTTCTCGTGCACGCGATTCAAGTCTTCGTGAAGCCCATCCAAGAGAAATGCCAAAAGCTCCTGGGAGTCTTGCTGCTGGAAGCCATTGAATCTTGGTGCATACTTTGCTATTGTCCACTACATTCATGTTTTTTAAAAATGGAATAAGAATATTAGCGTAAACATTTGGGTTTGATGCTCATAATTTCAGAGATTTCAGAGAATTTCAAAACCCACCCTGAGTTTTAGAGGTGCAACGTTCTTTTGGGTGCCGCTCCAGAGTTCCTGTACCAAATCACCATAGCATTTGGCCATGTGACCACGCATTCCTATCGGATTGGTTCTGTCAAGGCAAGACAGCTCATTGGTCAAGAAGTATGATTGTGACCCCTCACCCAACTTGACCCAACTTGCATCACAGTAGCAGAATTTGGGTCTTAATGATCGATGCATCAAGCACTGCTCACACAGAAGTCCCCTTTTAAATCAAGCAACTATCTGTGCGTCAACATCAACTCAAACACACTTTTTTGCCCTCAGGTGAAACTCACACTCATGTGGATTCCTGTTGAAATGATTGGATGGATTTCGCCCACAACATTTTTCAGAGCAACAGTAAATGCTTAACTAAGTAGTTACAAGTGGTTTTGGTATTTAAAAACCTTACCTGTTAAGCTCATAAAGGTGTCGTCCTGAGATGAAATACTCAGTGAGGGGCTTGGTGTTGCTTACACACTGAATACTGGAGTTCATGAAGCATGTATTACCCAGGTTACTCAAACCTGTGGCACCTTTCTCAGTAGGAACTGCAAGAGAAATGGGACAATGTTTAAAAAAAATTCTCCATATATTTTATTGGAATTTAAAAGTTTTTTAAGAGAGACCGAAGGTTTTGACTTCACAGGCACAACCACTTGAGTACTATCTCCATGAAGATCAATTACTCAGTATTTCATACTGAGTTCGATAGCAACAGTGAGTCTTTAAATGTCAAAGCTGATATCTGTCTTGATTTGGCTTTTATATGGCTTTATGTAATTGCTTCTTGGACTCTTGCTGCTTTTGTTCCTGTGTTAATAATCTACTACTTGATATATGTGCTTTCATACAAGAAACCAGTCTAAAGAATTGTATTATAGTGTCATCTAGGTATGGTCAAACTCAGATAAACATTCTGGCATTTGTAGATGGTCTGGCCAGCCTCCAATTTGCATAGATTTTCCCAACACTTTCCAAGAACTCTGACATTACCTTTGTGTCTGTCGATTTTGCTGCTGTTTGCAATGAAAGACATTTCCTCTGGCCAGCTCATATCTTTGTTTCGAACTGGAGAAAAGGAAAGATATCTTAATAATTTTTCCTTTTCCATCAGTACAGTCATGCATGGTTTGCAATTTAATCCACACTGCACAGCAAATGTGAAATGAGATAACACTTTAATTAAGACAGATAAATGTCACAGACATACCCTCAATGACTAAGTGCTGTTCGTCTTGAATTTTCAAACTTTCTAAAGTGTGATCTTCATCGTCCAGGAGAGTGAGGTAATTCTGATAAAAAGACGACATAAAACAAGATTAGTATACAGTATAAATGTATGTATCATTAATTATGATAGAAATTTCTTTGGGAAAAACATATTAATTCAGCCTTGGTGAGCATAAGAGACTTATTTAAAACCCCTCATTTTAAGAAAACAAGTCCCGTGCAGGGCTCTAATCCCTACCTCACTATTGTAGAGCCAGAGGCGCATGTCCTCTTCTTTTATGCGTAACCTCTGGGACAGGTAATCATGAATGTCTTTAATGGTGCCCATCCTGCTGAAACATCCCGTGTATGCCAGCACTCGCTTCAGAGGGGCATTTGGAGAAGGAACATTTCCTGTGAACGAAGCACCTTTTAGTATTCTCTTTGTTATGAGCAAAAAAACATTTACACATTTTAGATACAACCTTTTATCATAGTTCCACCAGCTGTTATAAGTACTGAATTATAACATATATATACAGTATATATATATATTTATATATATATATACAAAAATGAACATTAAAGAAATCACGGAGTATGCAAATGTAATTTAACTTACAACGTTAAATTAGTAAAGTAATACTTTTATGGTTTCATATTAATGATGAAAAACGAGAAGATCTAGTCCATTCCATCCATATACCCTAGCATGCATGCTATTAAATTAACACAGATGTCACAAGGGAGCACACAGATCAATATATAACACATACACAGCACCAATACCTGATTGACAGACTGAAGATTAGTTGTAAGGTAGCAGCAAGAAAGGGCAAAGGTCATTTTCAGAGGGGACATTCATCAAATCATTAGTCTGGGTGATTTTAATTTAAAAAATAAATAAAAAAAATCAAGGTAATTTTTAATTAGTCCAGTCTTGTGAAAAATAAAATAGATTCATACAGCAATTATTGATTTCATACAAGACAAAAATTATTTGAGACAAAAAAAAAAATTGGTAAGATTGCAAAGCAAACAATTACAGCAAATCAGCCAGAGAGCGCTCTTTTTTACCCACACCAAACAGTCTTCTGAGCCAGACAGCCATAATATTTCTAGTCTCGAAACTTAATTAAAAAAAATAAAATAAATAAAAATGTATTCAACATGGTTTTATAGCTGTCATGGATTACATTATAGTTTTGTGTGAGCAAAATGTAGCATTTAACAAAAAATATTAAATATTAAAAAAAAAAACAATTTAATTTGATATATTTTATGTTTTCTTTTGTTCTTTATTATTATTTTCTACTCTAGGCTGAACTCAGAAGATGACTCTGGGTGTTGGCAACAGGATTTGGCTCTTTAGTAATCCAGACAGGTCGTTTTGCTGAGACCGAGCTGGGTGCATTTTAGGAGATTAGAGAAACTGGTCAAGGCGGAGGTGGAGGGAGCCTCTCTCTTGCTGCAGGCTTACGTTACCTCGGGGCATATGTGGAGGGAACATTCGCAGGCTGCTCATACCCATATTAACCCAGATGTTAGACTGAGGGCTGCGTGTGGCCGGTTGCTGTCGCAGGAACAGAAGGTAGCGGGGGAAGAGCTCTAGCTCTGGGTGAACTGTGACTGTAGACATGATGACCTGAAGGAAGAAAAAAAGATACAGCATAAGCACAATACTACAGTGGTCTACCTGCTTAAGAGAGAAGCTAAATGTGGCTGAATCAAACTGAATTAGAAGTTCACAGGGTAGATTCAGGTGACATGTTCATTCCTCAGTCAAATTTTAAAAACCCTACTGCATACATCATGACAAGAAAAGTTTGATTTACTATTCTCGCATGAAATTGATATTACCAAATCAAAAACTTTAAATTGATACTTGGAGAGGGGTCCTTTCAAGCTACGCTGCCAACATTATTAAATAATATTTGTAATTACATTTAGTTGATAATTTTTGACATAATAGAATTTTAATATTCCATTTTACTATATAAATTAATATATATATATATTATTTATTTATTTATATTTTTATTTTGACAAAATAAAAAATGTGCTTTATATATATATATATATATATAAAATTAAGCACATTTTTTTATTTTGTAAAAATAAGAAATATGAAGTAAAAAATTTTTTATGGGGAAGAATCTTTTTTTTTTAAAGGGCAGTTTATCATGTAAAAACCTCCAGAATGTAACCTTTTTACTGTTTATTTGACAACATCCCTTCATTATGAACCATTTTAAGGCCATCAAATATGAATTATGTGGTAGTAAAGTGAAGAAAATGAGTCTGAGACCCAGAGGCAACACTGTACAAAAGAGGGTTAAATTAGCCAAGAATAATCTGTATTCAGGAAACACGTTTAGTAATATCTGACACAGTTCATGTTACATCATCAAGATCATTGTGTGACTATGCAAAAAAGCCAGAGAAAATAGCATTTATTAAAGCACAAATTAAGTGCCTATGGTGGGAGATGGAATACATACCGGTCGTGGGAGACTGATGTTGGCCCCATACCAGTGATAAAGTGCCCTCCATACCGGCTCTGGCACAGTCTCAAAGTCTCGGCTAGCCAATACCTGTTGGGACTTCTTCAGCCGCCCTCCCTCCATAGTCAATGTGGGTGCCTGGACAAAACGAAGTCACACACTCAAGGGGAGTTCATATTGAATTTGCAATGATAAATTGTAGGGACCTCCAGTGAGTAAATCACAGGTGGTGTAAGCACCCTTCACCCTGCTCTTCTCTTGTTGACTGAGAATGGGAGGTTGGATGAAGGGGTGTCGACAGGACCTAAAAGGTCCCTTTTTGGCTTTACAGCTGCAATGTATTGTGTTGTGCAAAGAAAGAGTCTGATTATATTGGACATTATATTATTACATAACTGCAAATATGCTTGCGACAAGCCATTACCGAAGCAAGCAGTTTCATACAAAATGCTTTCAGCTTCTTTTTCTAGAACACGAATGTTACAGACCATTTATCACAGGATTAATTTGTTCAAGGTGATTCTAATTTGCACTTTGGTTGTTATTTTGATGGGCAAAAGGATTAAAAGTGGCTTCCTAGCTTCAGTGGGTGTTCTCAGCACACGTACACTCACCTTCATGGGGTCGGTGGTCACCAGAGGCTGGTTGTCGATGGCACCGGGCCTCTGCGTGACCATGCTGTTGGGCAAATGGCCATTGACACTGGAGAAACACTGGTTGTTGTTGTCAGAGACGTTGTGCTGCCGAGCGAAGCAGACGTCTGTGGCAGAAGAACTGGTGTGTGGGGTCAGGCCTGAGGAAGTGTAAATAAATGTCTTTTCAGCCTTCATGCCTTTTTATTAGACCAGAGCGATACCAAAGTAGAATAACTGGCTGTATAACTAGTGTTTTTCTGTGAAAAAAGTATGTGCACTTATCATTCCTAAATACATGCAAACATATTATAGTATTTTTATGCTTTAGTACAGTCAAAAAAAATTCTAAATGCATACAGCACTTTTAATATTTTTGTGGAAAACGCGACAGTTTGTTTTTTCCAGGATTATTTGATAAATAGAAGGTTCAAAGAACAGCATTTATTTAAAAAGGAAATCTTATGCAACAATGTAAATATCTTTACTGTCACTTTTGATCAATTTAATGCATTCCTACTAAATAAAATAATTGTTTTACGTAAAAAAATGTGATAACTGCTAGGCCACAGCTTAAATCATATTCCTAACAACGACTGAGTGTGTACTTACTATTACCAGTGCTCTCTGAAGCCTCCGATGAGCTGGAGATGTTATCAGGAAATTTTTCTTCTGTGGAACTGGGAGAACGCACAACTATTCCAACTCTGTTCAGGACAGGCTCTATAGGTGCTGTAGACTGAGAACTTCTCATCCCACTGCCCTGAATTGATGGCTGCTCAACGACAATCGACTTATTATCCTGTTTAACACAATAATAGTAGTTTTTAATAGATTGTATATCAAAAAAAACCTGTAAGCTCCATATTGTCAGTACTTTTTGGCTGGTTGATGTCTGAGAGAAACAGGTTCCAGCCAGATATGTGTACTATAAATGGGTCATATCAGTTTACTGTTTTCTCTGTAGTCCAATTAAAATGTGAAAAATGGTCATAATTTACTCATAATTGACTCAGTTTGTTTAGATAGTACAAAACAGAACAGTGTACTTTTTTTTTTAAAAAAAGGAAAAAGAAATTTATATTTATCATGAAATGATCCCTTTTAATTGTTATGTAGAGACTGCATAGACATAATGCTTACTCACATATCTGACATAGTCTTTCCACTGCTGCCACCACTGCATGGAGATCAGAAACCAGTTCTGACCGGGCTGTAGCCCATGCCTGCTCTCCCGCTCCAGCCAACCCCTGTGCCGTCACACAAAATCATTGTGGATGACAAACAGTCAATAAAAGAACTATCATATTTATACAAAAGCACTAAAATAAACCAACAAAACATTCCTTCAGTCATTGGATATCAATAATAAACTTAGGCTGCATAACCAAACAATATGACACAATGATGTGGTACAGTATTTATAGCGTCTTTTTGAGCACCAACAGTCCAGCTAGCAAATCTAACTCAAAATGAAATGAATGATTTTAACTGCTGTTACAGGCAACGGAGGTACAATGGATCCTTACAAACAGACAAAGTCTAATCATGAGGATTGTGGGTGAGGGAAAAACAATACAGCCCTCATAAGGCTTGTTTTAAAACATTGAGAAAGTGCTCAGTAGGGCGCTTTTGAAAGAAAGCCGAGTTACAGAAAGTAATAGGGTGAGTAAAGAAATGCTGCGTCCTACTCTCACCTAATGATCTGGCCTTCCTCTTCAGGGGTAGCAGGACGCAAGCCCAGGACGATATGACACACCTAATGATCAATAGATTAACAAGCCATTTGAGGCCAGAATCAAGATAAAAACGCACATGCCTTACTGGATTCACTTACAAAGTATTTATGCCCCTTTTATTTATTTACCTGAAACAGCAAGTTGAGGAACTCATTGGCGAGGGCACTTTTCACGCTCCATATCTGATAGTCCTCCAGGGTTAAGTGCCCGAGCTGTAAGTAAAACACAAGACAAATGTTTGAGCACAAATGACGCATATAATATCCTTAAATATTGGATCTAAGATAAACCTGAAAAAAACCTGAGGGAAAAAAACAAACAAATGCAAGTAATGTTTATTTAATTGAGAAATTAATGTAATTTATATGGCAATGTTTTATTTCATTTTGTAAAATTTAAATTTTAATTAAAAGGGTATCAGCAATGGTGAAAATTATTTGAAATCGATATCAACAAATTTTTTTTTAGCATGACAAATCTACATTGAAAAGAAAGTCTAATTACTTTTGTTGTGTCGTGCATTTTCAGTATGTCCTCTACAATGTCTGACACGCTGGAATCAAACTCCTGAAAAATAGAGATACATAAATCAGGAAGTATTATCATGAAATCTATAACTGACAAGAAAGGTGTCTGTTAGATGTAAGACATACAATGACAACTCGGGATGCACAAATCAATAATGAATTGAATTGAGTTTAATTTAAATCTATTATCCCACATTAGTGCAAACCTGCAAAAACATGATTGCATCTCGTATGCATAAATCACCGCACAAGCATATCCACAAACATATATAATACAAAGGAAGTAATTTGCTTAGCAAAAAAAGGTTAATCAAATAGTTAACCGTATCATGTGCTTATTGCTTTTTCTGTGGACTTAAGTTCGATTAGACACTTACGGGGAGGGTATCTGTACGGTTGTCCTTCCACACTTCCAGCAGCGCCACCACCATCTCATGGATCTCATCCCTGGACAGAACTCCATCCCGATCTACATCGAACACTTTAAAACAAACTGAAGCAGACAAGGAAGAAGAGAATTAGGGTCAGATTTACTAAACAGGGCAAATTAGCGTGAGAGCGCAATTCCAAAAAAGCGCAGATAGGAGTGGAAACTTCGGCGAGTGATCTACTGACGACACGCAAATTAAAGAACACAGACGCAGATCGTTTGAAATCTGTGCAAATTATTGCTTTTTTTTTTTTGCATTTTGGTGCAGGACGAAATCCATCTGGGTTTTTCCAGACATTCAACATGTAAAATCGGCGCCGGGCCGTTTTTCAGAGAGAGAACTCTGATTGGCTGTTCAGTTTAGCAAATGAGTCAGTGCAATAAGAGCAAAAGTGATGAAAGTGAGCAAAGTAGTAATTCAATTCAATTCAATTCAAATGTATTTTGTATAGCGCTTTTCACAATACATATACACAAAAGGTTTGGTGTGTCCCTAGCTTTAGATGGGGAACTTTCAAACATTCATTTAAGAGAAACCATATTTAAATAACATTTTTTATAATCATTTGTGCATAAATAAATTGATATTCAAAATGGTAAGCAAGTGGTGCTTTGCTTATAGTTTGTATGCCTGTTTCACTTCCCTTTTTTGAATGCCGAATATATCTTGTTTTGCACACAGAGCTTGAATGGCATTCAAAGTCCACGATATCTCCATTTGTTTCAGATTTATTTTTTATTTTTTTAGGAGGACTTTTTGCAGGAGACGCTGGAAAGGGTGTTACAAAACAAAGATTAAAATCCTATTTCACATCACAACACTGGAGGTTCAGAAAGCACAGCGAACCTACTGCTCGAAATCCATAGCCTTCGGAAAAACTTGTCTCCTTCTGCTCATTTAACAAATGCTGATGCAGAAATGTTTACGTATAAAACCACAAAAAATATAGATGACGAATTAAAATGACTGACTTAATCGCATTACTGCCACAACCGCCAGAGCTCGACTTCAAAGGTCCGCCAACCACGACGCCATCTTAGAATACAGATTATGCTAGCTAAAATATCCTTCAAGGATTTTATTCCAAAAATGTTTTAAAATGTTTGAAGAAACACCATATAAAACAATCCTGCATCAGCTGTGGAATGAGAACAACTAAAAGAGGATGATAGGAAATGAAATGCTTACACTTCTGCCTTTCCGCTACAGGGCCCCGACAGCAAGCTGAGAGCCCGCACGATATCTCCTTAAAGTCAATATGATTGTCCCGATTCTCATCAAAGGCATGAAACAAGCCTGGAAAATGGGAGAAAATGTCAGCGTTTAGATTAGCCAGCAAGAGTAATTGGATTCTTTGGAGATCTTTTATCACACATGATCCTATAAATTTCAAAAGCAAAGACCAACTTCTACTAAAATAAAATGGGTGCTTTCATGGGTGCCGCAAATGTTTTCAAAGCACACGGCTAGCAGGTGGATGTATGTGTGAGTGTTTCAAACCATTTGGGAACCTTTTCAAATTACTGTAATGAATTCTGTCTTGCCTTCACTTAGCGATGCATGAATAGGGGGCGAGACCAGAGGGACAAAGGTTTCCAAATCAAAACGGCCTGTCCTTGATTGGGCTTTCAGCAGCCAGTAGCGCTTTTCCAAGTCGATAATGTCCGATTCTTCTACTGCAATAAAGAAAACACAAGAAATCAGATTATTTGTGAAATAATCATTTTAATGTGCAGTGTCAAGCATCAGTTGGGCATTTGCTCCTTGTGTAATTGAATATCAGTCATATATTTCTGTGTAATGACTCCATTGGTAGTCATTTAGACGGTATACAAAAACCTGTTTTGACTGTTTTTCACCCCCATGTCGTATACCCTCATGTTATTAAACCCGAAACTACAAGTTGAAGCTGAAGTACTAAACACAACTGAAATAAAAATAAAGCTAAACAGAAATACAAAACTAATAAAAATGACAAAATAACATTAAAATAAATAAATTAAATGTTAAAATAAAAGCTATCTGAAAAGATTAATACATACTATAATATTAGAAATATATTCTGAAACAACACAGCCACAAAAGTAGATATTTTAGTGAATAACACCACAAGTAAATAGACATGTTCCTCATATAAAGCATTCATACATTATGGTTTGAAAAGAATATCACACCAGTCTCTAGTCATATAGTTGTATTTTTGAGCTTATTATATTGCAAGAATTGTGTTGATATTCACTACTTTTACATCATAAAAGTTTGCAATGACATGAGGGTGAAAAACTACTTTCAGCCTTAATAAATAATTTCATTTTTGGATGAATTATTCTTTAAATAGAGACGTTTAGGTGGATTCTTTTTTTACATAATAAATTAGCTGTTGCAGACTGTAAATGGGCTCGTATTATGATTAACATGCTAACACTTTACAAAAAGTTTCATTAGATAACTACCTTAGACAACATGTACAATATCAATTCCAACATTTACTAATAAGTTCTTAAAATCAAATGTTGAATTTGTTAACATTAAGCTAATGAACTGTGAACTAACTTGAAGAAACAATGACCAGCTGTATTTTTATTAACATTAACAAAGATTAATAAATACAGTAACAAATGTATTGCTTATTGTTAGTTCATGTAGTTAATACATTGAGTAATGCTAATGAACCTTATTGTAAAGTGTGACCATTAACATTTATGACAAGTGATTACATAATGTCACCTACTAGGTGAAAGCATGGCTCAGGTTACCCCCTCTGTAAAGCCATATATAGTCCAGTCTTTTAGTTTAAGAGGACCTAGGTCAACTCCTTTTGCTTTGCAATAATCTCTAGCTTAGGCTAATAGGATTAGTCTACCCCCTCCTACACTGACCATCACACATAAGGCAAGTGTCAAAACACAGGAATACAAATCTGATCTTTTGTTTAGCCTGACTTTCATTTCAGTCTACTACACTCTCTATTCAAAACACAATACATTTCAGAAAATGCACTCCATAATTAAATAAATAAGCAAACTGATCCAAACAAAAGTATGTCCTAGGGGTTTTGGCCCCAAACTCCTCCGTTATCTCAGACTGCTGCAGCACAGCTAAACCTCTGTGGTTTGACGGACAAATGGAAGTCTGAATGGATGAGCTCAATAGTCATTATTTCCCATAGTTCTCAGGGACAGCAGGTTTACTGTCTGAGGGCCCGAAGACTGAACACAGACCAGAAACACAGAAAACAGCCTGGGGATCTAAAGGGTTACAAACCAACCTGCCACGAATCACAATCAATGACTCTGTGTCATTTCAGGAGCAGTTAGGAGAGGAATCTATCTTGACAGTAGTCCTAAAAAATACATCCAAGATGCATTTACAGCCAAAAAACATTTAACAACAAACTTAATGAAGTGATGAATAATTATCATTATTCAGAGCAACATTATTATTACCTATAACAATAATTAATATACATTAGCTTTAAGGAACTAAAAAAATCTGCTTGAGTGTTATTCACTGTTTGTGCATTAGACAGCAACTACTAATCTAACACTTATGCACCGTACGGATCAGTAAACCTGAATGTTTACAGCACATCTTAAAATGAGACACGATGTGCAGTTTATTTCAAGCTTGCTGTGGTATGATATCTTCTTGTCCAGCAATGCATAATAGCAGGACAGCACGATGCTGTCGGGCCTCTCAAGCTGTCAAAACCCATTTCACCTATTACTTGAGCTATGTTTCTATTACTTTTCCTGTCCTGTAACAGGGCACAGAGTGCATACAATGATATCCATGACAAAGTAATTACAGGTCTGGACTGAGACACAATGTCACACTTTTATACTCAATATCACAAACATAAGCCATCTCTCTTGGGGACAGAATCAGTGCCATCTTTGATGTGTTTTTTTTGATGTGAAAGTGTCTTTTGAATTTGTGTCATAATGTGTGTTATTAGCAAGTAAGAATATGAGATTTCATTCTATACTGAGAATATGAGATTTCATTCTATACTTTTAGTTATAATCTCACATTAAAGACATTAAATATAATATTTAATACTTTTTGATTTTATATATATATATATATATAAATTAACTTTCAACTTTTGTTTCAAACATTTTCTTTTTCAAATAAATGCTGCTCTTCTATTAATCATTCATCAGTTTCCAAAAAATATTAAGCAGCACAACTGTTTTAAACACTGATAATAATAAGAAATGTTTCTTGAGCATCAAATCGTCAAATTAGTATGACTTTTGAAGGATCATGGGACACTGAAGACTGGTAACAATGTACTGTAGTACATAAGTAATGATGCTAAAAAAATTCAAAATGTACTAAAATAGAAAACAGATACTTCAAAAAGTAGTATTTCACAATATTACAGTTTATACTTCTTATCAAATAAAGGCATCCTGGGTGATACTTCTTTCAAAAACACTTCAAAAACACCTAACTGACCCCAAATGTTTGAACAGTATATGTATTGGAGGTGTGTATTTGACAAACAATGTGTCCATCCATCAAGCTATATATATATATATATATATATATACTGTATTTATATATATATATATATACTGTATTTATATATATATATATATCTCAAGAACTCACCTAATGGAGCGATTCTATCAGAGTGGCAGCAGAAGAACCATACCATATTCCACTGCACATGTCACAGCTCTGGCTGTTAGATATGGCAGGTACCATGACACACAAGCTGCCGCTACGTTGGTAAAATACAGCTACTCTCCATCTCCGTATGCAACTCCTTTCTTTCTCGATGATTGTTGTCATCTAGTCATCACTTTCTTCTTTCTGACAGGCCTCTTGCCAGTTTTTATTTGGCCTGGTGTGAGGCATATTCTGGACAGTGCATGAACTCATAAACCCATATACGCTCAAACAGATCACACAGATCATGACTACTTCACACTGACAGCACACACACAGCCCTCTCACTGAGCTAAGAGGATAATCTGGAGCGGGCCGCAGATTACAGTGCGTTGCCCAGGTAGCTTCTCTGATTGGCCAGAGATGGAGAGGCAAAGCTGTCCTTGATTGACAAACGTATTCTAATTTTACTGAGCTATTTGCTTAATCACTTGCTTTTGTGTTTTTTTACTTTCTATCTTGTACTTGAGAATAAAAGTATCTGGACTGGGTAACAGTGAAAAGAATGAAGCCCAAACTTCTGCATTCATTCTGTAATGAAGAAATATGCTATTGACAGAATTGATCATGGTCTTACTAATACACAAAAAGGCACATAAATTAACCTTCCAATAATGACTGTATACAGTCAATTGATTAATGACAACGGCAAACAACTGCTGTGTATGCTGTTTAAAGCAACCCATAGCAACTGTTTTAAATTACAAACAGAATAGGAGGCATGTCAATATTGGTTTGCTCCTGCCCAGCATTAATGGCAGAGCTCCAAAGCCTACGGAGTTTAGCCTAGCTAGTCAGCGTAATCAATTCAAACGTCTGAACAAAACTGAATCAGTTTTCACAATCATGTTTCCAGTAAAAATGCAACAAGATATATTTTCCATGTAAAATTGTACACCAGACAAAAAAATAGATACAAAGACACCCCAAAGCCTGGTCAATCTAATGCAACAAGAGTATTTTGGGATAATCTAAGAAAAGGGTAAAAATTAGGGCCAGGTATTGATTCAGATGTTCCAATTCGATTCGATTTGCAAGCTCTCAATTCGATTTTTACATGTGTGGAGTAATTTTCTTGTTAAGAGTTTATCCTACACACAGACGTATGATTTCAATCTTTGAAAGCATAAATAGAATGAAAAAAAAAAAATCACAGATTCTTGATTTTATTTTTCCAACTTTTTCTGATTTGGGGTTGTACAACATCAGAATATTTTTTGAAATATTGAAATTATTTATGATTTAGTCATTACATTAGTTATCTATTCCTTATTAATTGAGACGCTATATACAATATTTATACTTTAAACAATTAATCAGTCAGTTAAACACACCTAAACAGCCATTAAAAATACATTAAATGATATACATTTGTATCAAATAATAATAATTATGGTATTTTTATTATGAATACTCAAATAAATGGCTATCAAGTGTGTTCACTTGTAAATGGGGGTCAATTGAGTACACCCAGAACTGCAAATATTACAGACTTCCCACATTATGATTTTATGACAGCAAATGTGCAGAGTGACTGAGCAGGAGGGAGATCTTGAGCACCTAAATAAATCATCCTATATGATAAGAGTGAGGGTTTAGACATTCTGTCACTGTGCAGGCTCAGGGTCTCTGAGAGAATGCAGCCATTTCCTTCGCCGTGTCAGTCTGGTTTTAATAACTGGGTGGCAGTGACAGCTGCAGCAGGGCCGAGTGTGTGCAAGTCGTGTGTAAGCGTGCTCACTGAGTGGGAAGTGTTGCCTGTCACTGGCCATTATCTCACAAAGATGCCTCTTTCCCGCTGAAGGGCAGGCCGACTGATTCGGTGATGCCTTCTGCGTGTCGGGGGAAGAGGGAAATGGACAAAACGAGACTTGCAACTTAAACATTTGCAGCATACATTATCAAAGAGCAGATTACGGTCAGCCTCAGCGACATACAAAGTCACTACTAAATTTAAATGATAACTTAAGACTTTAAGTCACTTGAACAAATTTCTGTAAACAGATGCCTCTAAAGTGACAAACACTGAGCATATCAGCATAAAAGGCAAACCAGAGAGCATATTCAGAGAGTAATAACAGTAAACCGATTTAAGAGTATTTAGGAAGTATGAAGTATTTAGGACGTATGAACACTAAAATACCATAATATTCTCCTTTGGTCATATTTCAAGACTGACCCATCACGAGCTCAAAGACTGATGGTATATTCTCCTGCAAAAGCCACAAGTCAGTGTGATTTTCAACAGTTGCCAAATTCACCAAGTAACATTTCCTCTGCGGTCGCCCTACAGGTTTGAAGCGGAATTGTCCTGCAATTGCTGTCATAAATAATATAGCCTACAGCAGCCTACTGTCGCACGCACACTTGTTTGTTGTTTATCCAGCACCGGCTTTTGAATGAACAATGTCCACAGACAAGGTAGATTATTGTTGCATGATTTCATGACAGTATGATGTATTGCGACATCAGAAATGAAGAAAAACACAATAAAGACTATTGTAACGCTTGACGTAAAGCAAGTCACATTTGTAGTTTTCTTATGTCTCAACAGAACTATTGATTCACCAATCAGAGAAGTTGCAGTTACCAGGGAAACAAGACCAGATTAATCAATTATAATTAATTCCTTCAAAACAATTAAACAATCTTTTGATTGGTAGAGTACAACCAATAATTTTATACTGTATTTTTCTAACTGTAGTTCAGTTCCTTTAAAAAAAGTGCACAAGTAGATGATCTTGTACCCTCCTCTTCTTCAAATTTTTATTTTATTTTTTACTTCAAATCAATCCTCAGAGATGTTGGTTTAGTTCAAGGTTTAGCAAAAAATTCAATAAATATAGGGCTGCCAAACGATTAATCGCATCCAAAATAAAAGTTTGTGTTTACATAATATTTGTGGGTGCATTGTGTATAATTATTTATATATATGTATACACACATATACACACATGTATATTTATTTAAGAAAAAATAATATTTATATATAATATAAATTATATATAAATCTATATACAGTATATACATGAAAATATTTCTTAAATATACACAAGCATGTGTGTGTATTTATATATATAAAATTATTATACACAGTGCACCCACATATATTATGTAAACACAGACTTTTATTTTGGATGTGATTAATCGTGATTAATCGTTTGACAGCCCTAAATAAATAAAAATAATTTGAATCGCTATGAAGAATATGAATGGAGAAAAACCCTTCCGGACCCAGACAGAGTAGTTTTAAGAGTATATTGAGAGGAAGTATTCAGAGAATACCCTGAGAGAATAGTGACACTTACAGTGTGTGACACCTGCCAGGGTTTGATAGAAGGTGGGTGTGTCGCTGTCGTCGGTCAACGTGACGCACACGCCACCTGACAGCAGCCAGCGGGAAAATGCGAAAGCATCTTTATTCTGCAGGAGCCAGCTCTTAAACTTCTCATAATTCACTTTCTCTCCCTGGACAGAAACAGACAGAAACACTTTAAATAATCACCAGACTACAATTCTCTAATGAACCCATGACCATTATAAAGTGCATGACAAAACCGTGCAGAATTGAGAAGTTGGACTGTGTGCTTTCCATTGTTGAGCGAAGGGGAAGTTCTCTAATTATTAATATGAACTGATTTCTTTCTGCTGTATGCAGATACATTTGTGCGAGTGGTTTGGGTAAAGAGATAAGAGAGAGAGTCTTTGAGCCGCTGCCAAGAGATAACCAACTAAAGTGCTGCACTGGGTGGCTTTCCCCTAAATCAAGAAGTGATGCGGGACAAACAAAGGCTGAGAAAACAGTGCAACTGGAAAAAGAGCTTATAGAGAAGTCAGGGGGAATGTAAGTCACAGCCATATTACGTGACCTTGTTGGCTTCAACATTTGCACAGTCAACCTTTTAAGCTTATTATTAGAGCTATAATACAGAGGAAGCTCTTTCAGTAAACACAGGTTTAAATGGGGCCAATGGTTCAGAAAGTACTGTATATATAGAATTTGGCAATCAATGAAATAAGTTTCTGAAAAAGATTGTTTAAATAGGCATGTAATCCATTAATCAGTGAACAAAATAGTCACACATTTCTTTCAAAAGCAGCCTGCATTTCTATTGGCTTGAAGTACAAAAGATGACATGACAATAGCCATGTTTCAATCCAAGTTGTCTTATTTATGTAATTTAATTTGTGAAATATCAGAGTATTGCAAATAAAATTCATCTTCCCAAGATATTAGGGCAAAATACGCTGGCCTGTATGATTTGTTTTTGTCTCATGTTTTTATCAAAAGTAATGAGCACAATATCACACAAGTGCTTTATACCGAATAGCTTGAGTGCTAATGTGATATTGATTTTATATAACAGTTCAATAAATGAGCAATTAATATTGTGATATATTTTAGAGACCATATTGTGTCTCCAAACACACAGCAATTTTTCGTTTTTTGAATGAATCTGCCTTTTGAGCATGAACCAATTATTCAATTGCCAATTCATAAAGAGAGACATTTACTTATATTAATTCATGAATGAATAAGCTGTTTGAACTAATCGAATGAATAAATGACTCAATGACTTAAGACATTTACTGCCATCTAATGGAAGATTTAGTTTCCTATTTAGAGTAAAATTTCATTTCAAATTTCAAAATTTCATCCTATTTATATAAATTTACTCTCCCTCATGTCATTTCAAATCTGTATGACTTTCCTTTGTGGAACATTAAGAAGATATTTTCAAGAATGTTGGTAACCAAACTGTTTAACAGTCTGTCAACATATTTAAATACTAGGGATGTAACAGTGAATTTGTCTCGAACCATCACGGTTTGATGCATAAAGTCAGACAACGACTAGTCAGTCACAGGCGAACCACACTCTAATCCAGAAGGGGGCGAGTGGTAATGCAACGCTGTTTGCGAACCGCCACAACAGTAAAAAGCAGAACAAGAAGAAGAGACAATCTATGCACCAACCCAAAACAAGAGCTCAGATTGCATTTCAAGAGCTTGCTAGAGGCCTATAAGCTGAGTTTCGGTTCATTTTTGTCAACTTCATGGAAAGGTAACCGGGACAGTAGAAAGCGGCAACCTGTTTGTTATCTTTATTTTACAAAAGCACAATGGTTTGTTTTTATTGTGACTGTAGTGTACACAAATAAAAAAGACTCTTTACAGTTTCAATGATGTCTTACTGTTCATCTGTATGACCATAATTTAAGTTATTGATTATTTAAAGTTGTTTCCGCTGTTATAATGAGAAAAAAATCATTTGCCCTAGTGACGATTTGTATCAATGAAATCTGACTACAGTCCAGTGATGAAATATGAGAGTCCTGGAAATGGGAAGCCTAAGGTGCCGCTTCACTTGCTGTCTCCTCTTGGAAAGGTGAAGTAGACTCAGATGAAGATGCCACTTTTTTTCCTTCTGGCTCATCGTTCCATGATTTTTTGAAAAAGCGTAACAGATAAAACCCGAGTTATGTAGCAAACCGTGTGTACCATGTGTACTGTGTACCGTTACATCCCTACTATATACCATTTCAGATGCCGCCCCTGAATATAAAAATCATGGCCCTATATATATATATATTTATATAATATGCATATATATATATACTTTTTTTTTTTTTTGGATGATCCTATAAACTTGCAGTTTAATTTTCTTATCTTCATAATAATGTGAAATGAGTCATTTTCAACAAGAAAAATATAAATATATCTCTTCAACACCATATGGCTGGAGGGCATGGTGATTGGTCTGAGAAGTCATTACTGACAAGCAGGTGAGACAGAGGTAAATAACACATGTGAGTCTTCCTACACTGACCTCCGTGAAGCACTTCCTAAGAGAGGGCGGGACCTCCCCATCCACTGAACGTAGCATGTTCTCCACATCCTCCCGGACCACATAGGCTCCCGAATCACTGGCGAACAAGCTGAAGATGTCTGTAGATAAAGAGGACATGCTGGCTAATGCACACACACCTTATCAGAGTCTAGCAGGCAATGTGTCTCGCATCCTCTCATCAATCACAGATGTCAGGAACACAGTGTGAGTAGACACTACATCTACGGAAAATATCAGACTGTGAACTGGAGTGTGTATGCAGCTACAAGTTTGACTAAAGAAACACAGACCTAAACAAAGCTGAATAACATTGGATGACTAAATATGCAGAGCCTGAGGTGTGCTTATACTTAGAGAAATGTATAATGCATAATCCACAGAAATTATCAAAGAGGTAGTAATTTAATTACAAAACAAAACAAAATATAAATGGCTGTGTTGAGTGGACTGCATGTGCCCCTCTATACACCTACATTTGGCCTTCTCTTCATCGCGTCCTCTTGTTAACAGAACCAGCCCAACAATCAGGTAGTTGAAGTGTAGCCCTTTAGATGTGCCACCAAAAGAGCTGTAGATCACCTACAACAGATGAGAAAGGATGGATCCACATTAAATGTACACAATTGATCAGCATTTAATTCTGTGTTCACATAACATTGTCTTCAGGTGACCTGCAGTGATCACTGCCCGAGCTAAATTTTGCCATTGAACTCAACTTTATGTAATTGAGCAATGACGCAGAAACTTCTATTGGGAGAGCAGGTAGTTATTGTATTGCACATAATGGTTATGCAAAGGTCATACAGTGAAATTTTCATAGATGACAATAACATAGCCTACGCAGTTCAGTATAATAATGATTATTAATAAAAATTAGGTTTTTACCAATAAGCATAGCAAAATGGAAAAAAGTTTACAGGCATTTAAAGGACAAAGTCACACAACACCACCATGCAACTAAAGAAAACGTGTATTTATGGTTACACAACAAAGAAGGACATTACTTCCCATCAGTATACTATTATGAATTCTATTGGTGTCTGAAGCAGAAAATGCTTAAGGCAGACAGCCTGGTGTTAGCCGTCATCTCAGACCTTTGATTTCCGCTAAGATTCAGAGAAACATCAGACTCTTAATGATAACAATGCACCCTAGATACTAGATACATATCTCCCCATAAATCAGCTGACAACATTTAATTTAATATGAGGAAACATTACATTCTCTCTCTACCCTCACTGCAGGGCTACATAAATGAATAAAAAAAATCCCTGGAAAATATGGCAGGTTACCAGTAAAATGCTTTTCTTCCAGTTTTTGATCCGTTTCTGTTCCACAAAGACATCTCATGCACACATAATTCACTTTTACGCCTGGTGTGAGTCTGACACCATGTCCTACCAATAACACCACATAAGTACAATTTTCACACGCCCTGATGCCTACTAAACAGTCTATCACTCTGTGTCATATAAAAAAAAATTACTAGAAAACTGTTAAATGAGTCTTGACTGACAACAAGTTGGACTAAAGAAAACATCCATGTCTGTAATCTTTCCACTAAACGCATGATAGTAAATTTACTAATAGTATTTAAGTTATTTAAGAAAATAAAAAACTATTAAATGAAAATCAAGCAAAACAGTACAAAAAAGAAATAAAATATGTATTTAACAAAAATAAATAAACTAAACTAGCATTAAACAAAATGTAATTTAATGTTTCCTAGCTAAATGTATGATATTCAATTTACTGGCCACTATACCCATATTCACTAATTATATAGTTTATAACTAATTATTTAGAAAACAAACAAGTAAAGAAAAGTGCTATATATATATATATATATAAAAATAAACAAATACAATAAAACAAAACTTGTTGTAAATGTTTTGTTAAATAGTTGTAAAATTAATTGTTTAATTGTTGTTTGTAATTAATTGTAATTAATTGTTGTTTTCTTGTATTGTATTTGTTATTTGCATCTTTGTTCTTATTTTTAATAAAGATAAAATAACAAAAATAACTATGTTGTGATTATTAATAAAACAATTGGGGAAAAAAATGCATCGATAATCATTTCGTAATTTAATTGTTACTCTAAATTGTATTCGAATAGTGAGACAAGTGAAGATTCACACCTCCATGTTGAAACCACAACATAAACAACTAAATGTGCCATATGTGAAACTGGAAGCATTTTTTTTTTAATTCTAAAGATTTATGTAAAGACCTCATGCTGGGTGGCAATTGGTATGTGTGAAGCCATTCATTTCTTATGGATGTTTACACATATAAGTCACTGAACCACTGTGATGACCCCGGTGTGTATTCTGCTCTGACAGCACATCATATGTTTACTGCATGAATGTGATCTTTTGTGACAGAACTAGGGAAGTGCAAGAATAGTTGACTAAACAATAACGCTGCTGCTGTTTGTCGACATTGGAAATACCACTCATTTTTTTCCCACATGTATGTTTTGCATTATATTTTTACAAAGGCTACATCCAAAATACTGTCCCATTAATATTACAATTGAAAATACATTTTGAAAAGTGTAAATCAAAAAATATAGTTGCCAGTACACGTCAAAATACTTTACATACACAAGAAGCGTTTAAAAAGGAATTTGGACATCGGGACTCATTTCCAAGTTAGCCTTAGTGTTATTTATCAGTGGAGACAGTTTTCAAAAATATTCAATCGTTCCAGTTGCATAGTTCGCCGGTGCTAGGCTAGCGAGAGTCAACGGTAACTGCTAACCTGCCATTAAAGTCAGTTTTACCCACTCCACAGTACACCAAAGCAAATAAATTATAACCCCAGACTATCGATGTCTTCCTTCCTCTCCTTCTTCTTCTTCTTATTTAGCTGTTTAATTAATATGCTATTTCAAATGAATTGCTAATACAGTCTGTTGTTTTCAGGGAGTATACGCATTATAGAAATTAGTTGTGGCACACAGAACGGCTTCATTTTCTTTCTAAATTATACAAATGCATAATATACACAAACACAGAAGCAATTCTTATTGAAAGTAGTTATTATAATGAATAATGTAGCACGCTTTCGTAGCATGTAATCATTGCCCTTTAATGTAATGCAAACACTGACCGACTGAAGGTAATGATCAACTAGAGCATTCCAGAAGCTCGTGAAGCTCGTGCAGAACACGTGCACAGACAGGAAGTGGGAGGAAAAGTGTGCGATGCTGCAAGGGATTTAATGAAGCAGGGTGCTAAAGATCAACGTGTGGTGTTGGCTGGCCTGCTGCGAGCTGAATTCAGGGGAACCAATCCACTAATCAAAACGACGAATTGAGCAGCTGGGAGCTCAGGGTTCCTCCTGACCGTGCCTCCCGATGATGGACGCAGTGCAAGATGTCACCTGCAGCCAGCAGATTAATCACCCATGGGTGCAGGCACTGACTAAGGGTTAAGTAAATAATACTGTATATAGATTTTGTTAGATGGTTGAGTACTAATTGTTGGTCACACTAGTTCTTAAAGAGGTCATCGGGTGCCATTTTTCACAAGTTGGTGCGATTCTTTAGGGTCTTCATGTAAAGTTTGTAACGTACTTTGGTAAAAAAAACACCCTTTTACCTTTTACCAACACCCTTTAAAAAAAAAAAAAAAAGCTGTTAACAGCGACCTGTTTGGGAGCATGTCTATTTAAATGATAATGAGCAACTGCTCACCCCACCCCTCTCTTCCGTGGGGCATGAGTATACAAATGGCTACGGGACAGTCTGTCAGTGGTTGTGGGCGGAACATGAGCAATGACATCATCAACTCAGAAATTCCAAACGGCTTGATTATTGAGAGTGTTTAGACTTTTTGAGGATTAAAAATAAGGAGTGAATGGATTTCTTTCAGTGTATAGTGTTTGTCCACACACTACAAAGACACATTTATATTCAAACACCATGTAAAAGTAAACTTTGGATCCGATGACAACTTTACAGGGATAGTTCACCCAAAAATGAAAATTAACCAATAATTTACTCACCCTCAAACCATCCTAGGTGTAAATGACATTCATCTTTCAGAAGAGTAGTATTAAAAAAAAATGTCCTGGCTCTTCCAAGCTTTATAATAGCAGTGAATGGCTGTTTCTGTTTTGAAGTCCATAATGGCTCCGGGGGGTTAATAAAGCCCTTCTGAAGCGAAGCAATGTGTTTGTGTAAGAAAAATATCCATATTTAAAACTTTATAAAGTAAAATAACTAGCTTCCGGTCAAACGAATTCCAAGTGTAAAACACAACTTAATGCGACGTGCTGCTGATATTTACACTACGCTATAATGCACTACACTACTTCCGGCGTCATAAGATGTGCTTTAGGCGCAAGTACACTGGGTATGGTCATTTGGCCGGAAGCTAGAATTTTACTTTGTAACGTGGTAAATACAAATATTTTTCTTACACATAAGCATTGCTTCACTTCAGAAGGCTTTTAGTAACCCACCAGAGCCGCATGGAGCACTTTTATGGACTTCAAAACATTCACTGCCATTATAAAGCTTGGAGGAGCCAGGACATATTTTAATATAACTCTGATTTTATTTGTCTGAAAGAACAATGTCATACACCTAGGATGAATTGAAGGTAAGTAAATGCTCATTTAAATTTTTGGGTGAATTATCCCAGTTTTAGCATCATGGCTATGTTTATACACATGGCCCAAGGTGATAATGTAAGGAAAATCTTAACCTGATCCAGAAAATGGTCAGTTAACCAGCACAGAATGCTAAGTGACACGTGAATGTGTAGAGTGCTAGAAAGAATCACTTCAGAAATAGACGCACTCAATAAAAGCATCACAATGCTTGGCAAGAATCAGGATAAGTAGCTGTACAAGCTTCTGGTAAAAGAGCTAAAAATAAACATAACTATGCAATTTCAGATGAGTGGCAGTTTTATTCAGTTGAAAGAATTTCATTGGATTGCAGCCAGGACTGAAAATCCATAATACCTGACGAAAGATTCATGACTTTAGAGTCAAGTCCTGTTAAAGGCCTCCATCGGTTTTAAGGACTTCTTTTAATTGACACTAAAAATTCAAAGGAGAAGTGTCTTAGAGTATTGATCCGATAAATTTTTCACAATAAAACTGGCTGAGATCCACACCGAAATGAGACGAAAATAACTAGTCAGCCACACTGGCATGCAAATACTAGTTCCTATGACAACAAGTAGAAGAAGTATGAACCAGAAAGGTTTCTGCTGAAATAGAGGGGGATCTCTGTATGATTCATCTCACAGAGATCAGACTGTAAAATACAGCAGGCAGGTAGAGGGCCATATGAACTCATGGTTAAAGCGGTCAGGTCATGAGGAAGTATTTAAATGTCAGATGATGAGGGTGTTTTACCATAAAGCCCCACCCTTTCAGTTAGTGCTTTGTTACAATTGGTAAGGCAAGGCAAGTTTATTCATATAGAACATTTCATACACAATAGTAATTCAAAGTGCTTTACATAGAAGAAATTAAAATAATCAAAACAAATAAGAATAATTAAAAAAGTTTAGAATAAAAACTTAAATAAAAAGTACAGTAAAAGCAGTCGGACGAACAGTGGCACATTGCTCATTTAGTAAATGCACAGCTAAACATATGTGTTTTGTGTCTGGATTTGAATGTAACTACTGTAGGAGCACATCTGCTCTCCTCTGGAAGAAGCTGAATCCAGCTGCGGCTGGCATAATAGCTAAAAGCAGACTCTTCGTGCTTAGAGTGAACCCTTGGTATTTCTAATTGATGTGATCCTAATGATCTGAGTGTGAGCATATATGCAATGTATTGAGATCCTAGGCCATTGAATGATTTATATCCCAGTAATAATACTTTAAAATCAATCCTAAATGTAACTGAGAGCCAGTGGTAACCACATGACTTTGGGTATTTTGAGTATCAGCAAACCAAAACAGAAATACACACGAACAGGGAAATAGCATAGTCAGTAGTCAAACTAAATCGACAGTGGGGAACTTTAACTAAGTTTATGTATGTTTTTGTGACTATCTTGTACTAAAGGATGCAGTCTGAGCACAAAATATAAAGAAATATATTATCTAAATTCATCAAATGTACACTAAATGGACTGTCAAATATGTACTACTTGTGGCCTGCCATTAATAAACCAGGGGGGCAGAACAATCAAGCACAAAACTGTTGAAACATGAAGAGACAGCACTGAAATGTTGTATTAAAGCTTGACTCACCTCTGCAACCTTTGGTGGCACTCCATCGCCCAGTACTTCCCTGTAGAAGCATTGCTGGGTCATATAGACAGACAGGCCACTGGTCCTCTTGAAGGCATCTCGCAGACGTTTGAGCTCCACATCGGTAACTGTGAACACAGTGGAAAGTTGTCAAATAGCTGTACGAGATATGAGCTGGTTAAATAAAGACTACTTCAAAAAGAGGTTCATTGCTTTATACTAAACTTTTGGAATGCATCCTTGCTGAATAAATGTATTAATTCATTTCAAAAAATCCAAACATTTTATTAATTAAAACATTTTAATATTAAAAACATTAAATATTATCATTTAAAATAGAGCTGTAGAAAAGTTTGAAATTAAACTTTGGAAATTAGTTGCATCAGAACAAAACACAACATGACAACATCATCATCAGTTGAGGGCTGCAACTTAACTTTTTAATATCCTGGCTGGACTACTGTTGTCAGTGATATTAATAATTTGAAATGAACATGATTTCTTAATGTCTAGTGACATATCAGGGAAAATTTATGATTGATTGAAATAAATTTCTTGCATAGAGCTCAGCTCCTTTAAAATGTTACAAAATGTATGCAATGTAAAAGTGTAAATGTGGTACAATCAAGGCAAACTTTGAGGTAGATCACGTTCAACATTTAATAAGTAGGGGTGTAACAAAATTCACGTTTCAGTTCGATACGACACTGGTGTTATACGGTTCGGTACCGTTTTCGATACAGCAAAAAGAAAGAAATGCCAGAGAAATATCCTTGATTTAATTTTTTGGATTATATTTATTAAAAGAAATTATTTTTAAATGAGTGTGGGTTTTCCAACATCTTGAAACTTTTAGTTTTATAAACGGGGGTAATCTTTGAAGGATGAGTAAACAATGTTTTGGTCATCACATTAAAAAATACATTTAAATATGATAACATTTGACAGTTTGATAGAGTATTTTGAAAATACAGTTCATAGAGTATTTTGAATGCTTCTCACTAGACTCGCAGCAAATGCTATTACTTCTGTGGCGAATTCAAATGCTTTGTTTACTATATCTCTCCCCGCTGTAGAAACAGTGTCGCTTGATCAAGATTGGCTCACGCTGCACTGGCATTGATGGTCCAAACTGATGAACAGTCCGTGAAGCAAATATGAGTGGCACAGTTTCTTTCTGCTTTCATTAATCGCTATCGAATTTTTTAAAAATTGTTACCAACAATGTGTACCGTCGAGAAATACCGTTTTTATCGCCCTGTCCAAATTGAATAAATAATGGGATTAAAAAAACAGGACATAGCCTGACACATTGATGGCCCATTCAAAATCCTTGTGAGCATAAGGCTCTTTGGCGTCTAGCAGTTAATCGTTCCATTTACTTGTTATGCAGTTTTTTTAAGCAGAAAATTTGTTTGGCGTGAACAAGGCCTTAGGTCTGAGAGAGGTAGCTCTGACTGCTGAGCAAACTTCTTATAAGTCAAAGTCATTGCCATCTTTGCACATTTCTCACCTCTAGCTCAGAGCATGTTGAGTTATAATGACAGAGAGGAACTACAGCAAGTGCTTTCATCTCTCTTTCACACGTACACACTCATCCATTTTAAAACATCACTGCCTCTGAAGACTGTATTTAACCCAGACACTTAGAGGAGGCCATTGCTGCTCCTCTCCACTCATAGCCTTGTACTGCCTAGCACAATACATCACAGACCTGCTCATAAACCACAGCACTGTTCTATCTGACCCATCCATAACAGGGTCAAGGCCAAGAGAAGAGGGCCAAGACACCAGGCTATTTCCAGGAGATTTCTAGAAATGCTTTTCTAAAACAACAGAATGGACTTTAAAATTAGGCATGCACCAAAATTTTAGGCGCTTAGATGGAACGTTTTGACTGTGTTCAGCCTCTATCTCACACACACAACATGGATAAGCTACAACAGTGAAACATATCAGCCGTGTGGACACTAGCTCTGGATTGACTATATTAATTGGTAGTGATGTGGTTCTTAAATCTATTTGTTGATGAGTGAATAAAACTTCATAACAAATTTGCTTTCACTCTGAGTCCATCCAATATGCAAGTTACTTCTTGTCAAGATTTTTAGCATTATAATGCGTCAGGAAGCTCGCGCTGCAGACTGCTGTTTGCCGAGGCTTTGGATTACAGGTAATAATGTTCAGTTTCTTGCACAGAAAGATGCTTTCACTTCATAAGATCATTGTAACATCAGGAGCCATGGTTATTCATTTTGTTTTCCCTGTATATGTACTCCCGAAGTGACGGTTGCCAGTGACTTGCACTATATGAATCACAAAGGACCAGGTTTCAGCCAAAAATCTTCTTTACTATTCTTGTGAAAAATGAATAATAATTTTTGGTGAACTATCTCTTTAAGAATGCTTGGAATTATATGGCACATAGTACATCCACAACAAAAGCATGCAACAGATGCCACTCCATTGTAATAACAGTTGTTAGCATATCATTGAAGAAGAGCGACTAGACTGGAGCCATTTCAGCACTGACGTGATGGCTCTTGTGGTGTTGTCACAATAAGGCAGCTGATGTTTGCCTGCCCTTTCTGTCCTAAAACAATATTGTTTATTTAATAGAATATTGTTTACTATAACAAATGTTGCAAATGTCATATGAAGAACATTTGAACATGAAGAACTGATTTAAATTTTACAAACCTTAAGTACAGAAAATGTGCTTAATTTGGAAACAGACGTCACTGAAAGTAATAACTTGCGGTTCGCTGTAGGTGAGTCAAATGTTGATTATATAACCGCATCTGACTGATTCCATGAGTTCAGTCAGTGAAGGATTTGTTAAACTGTAAAATCATTCAAATCGTAAACTTTTGAGTTTTTTTAAACATTATTTGTTAGAAGAACTGTCTCATAAGAGTCACTTGTTCACTACACTGGTTGCTCCGCTTGTTTTGATTCACTAACAAGAACTAGTTCATATTAAAAGTCATTTGTTCATAAATTGGATTACATCACAGCGGTCTGAAAATTAGGAGATTGGTTTGATTGGTTTTTAATTTGGTCTTTTTAATTGTAAAATTATTCTGCCAGAAAAAAAATAGACATACTCAAAAATGGGTGTACAAAATTTTTTTCACTCAGACATTGCTAGTAAAATTCCCAAACAAATACAAAGAAGCCATGGCAAGTAAAAACTGAATCAATTTTTCTAATTAGTACTAATTTGTTTCTAATTAGTAATTTAACTATTTCTAATAGCTATTTTCTTGGCAAACATGCTCCAATAATCTTTGTTTTATTTACAACTTCAGAAAATCATTTTCACACAAACTTCTCTCCTCCAATTCTCATATCTGCACCTCAATTTCTCACTTATATGGCAATGAGGTTCAGTAAAAGGTAAACTCTGATTGGTAGCTCAGTGCTGAGCGTATGAGCGCAAGTCATTGTGATGGGACCAGTGATGCCGAAAGACACACAAGCCTCAGACAGAATATTGTTTAAGAACAATTCCGGCACAAAAGTGAGACTTTGAGCCGGAACACTGCATAAGCTGCATCAAGGATCTTGTAAGGACTTTTTAAAAAAGACGTCTATATCAGGATGTTGAGGACACCTTATTGCTTAAAAAAATCACTACAGACAAATAATGAGGATATTCAAAAGCTCAAAGCAAACTTAAACAGGTTCTTCCGATGAGTCAATGGAAAGAAACATTGTTTACATACAAGTGTAGTTGACATCCAATACTTCAGCCTCAATATAACCAAATATAATCAGCCTTGCCAAAACATGGCTCTATTGCTGCTAAGCACAGCACATTTTCTCAATAGGCATTCCACAGTCTTCATAATACCAGGAAGAAATTGGGTACTGTGTTGTGAAGATATGACGACAGGAAACAGACTGTGGATATTCCTGGACTTGACAGAGGGTGAACCAAAGAGACTGCCTGAGAAAACAGTTTAGAGATCTGAGGGTCATAAAAATTGCTCAGGAGTCAGGACTAAAGAAATGTTGATTTTCTTACAAAGCAGGAGAAACGTTTTAATTCCCAAATGACATCCATTCTCTCAGGTCACAATCTATAGTCAAAGACACACTGCTGGGGGAAAGGTAAGGGTGGTCAATGAGATTTCTCTCTCTTCATGTGATACAGAATGCTCAGACATGGCCGTGGAGTAGACCACTGCATCTGAGACGTTTCAAAGTTGACAGGTCAGCAGATGCGCTCTAATATATCTCTGCAGTCTCTTCACAGGCATTTTATAGTCCTGGAGCAAGCATAATTATTCTGTATAATGATCTGTGGGAGAAAAGCATCGGATGAGGAAAACAACATTCCAAAATCACAAACACTATCATAGCACCAGATATTCCACTGAAAAGGCAATGACAATGACTATGCTGAATGCTCAAGACATTTCTGTGCATGTGCAGGAAGAACTCCTGACCAGTTTTTGAGGTCATAGCAAAACAATTAAGCCAATTCTATTAAGCAATTCCCAAATTGCTCTCTCCAAAGGTGCCAAGGTAATATATGCAAACCCTAAGACGGTTTCCCAAGGGAGAGTGATTGTGATAGCACAACAGTACAGCTATTAAAATATGCATTGGCATCAGTTAACTAAATGTACAGAATAATTAGTCATTTATGTTTATATTAGAAGTGTAGCCCTGAAACCGTATTCACTTTATAGCCCTTAATCCTGTAGACAAATGTAGGCACAGAGGACTCAGGTGTGATCCTAATTTTTATTTATTATAAATGTTATATCACTGTCTTCAATAAAGTTTTGTCAATTCATTTATGGTGTTTTTTTTTATTATTTTGGGGGTATTTTTGAATTTATTCACTTCAAAAAGTACCATATTTTCTATGTAAATTTTTCTATGTAAATTAATTACTATGTAGTTTTATTTATCATTCCAATAAGTTCTTAGAGCTAAATCCTAAAGATGAAGTGATGAAGATGAAGTTTTTTCACCCACTTAACATTGTAGAATTGAGTCAGAAAAAAATGTGCGTATTCAGGAGGCAAACTTAGGAAAAGTATCCAAGTCTTGTACCGCTCAGATCAAGGGAAGTATTTTTTTAAATAAATCAAAACTATTTTGCCCACATTTG